GCGATAAAGGAAGGACAGCATGGAAGAATTTGAAAGCTAATAAAGCAAGGTTTGTTATTTGAGAGCATTTGCTATATTTTTCCTATTATTTTTCTATTGTTTTGTTTCGAGTTGTTGGTCTTGGTGTTGCAGTTTTTAAAGCAGCTACCAATTATGGTTTATTATTGGTATATTCCATAACTGGTATATATTCCGTACTTTTGCTGATTGTTTAATTCACATACATTCTTTTACCCTCATTTCAGACTGGTAACTCCATTCGACATACACGCTACACTGCTTGACATACTTCACTGGCCGACAGAGCAGGAGTTGAATACTATGGGTGACGCAAAATTCCGTTCCTTGTCAGTTTTTAGGCCAATTCCTCCTTCAAGAACCTGTGAAGAGGTTCTTTTTGAATATTTTGTTTATACTTAAATACTAGTATCACCGGGGCACATTTGAGGGCATATTTTTCAAATTACTTCAGAAAAGTAAAAAATTTTAAAAATTAGAAATTGGAAAATTAAAAAATCTGAAAAAGATAAAAAAGGTGATTTTATCAAGCATTCAAGTGTTTGTACTAAGGAATAGTTTACTAGACTGGTATCAAGGATTTTACTTGTTTTAGTTCACGACTAAGTGTAGGTCATTACGTCACTCCTAATTGTTTCCTATTTGGAATATTATTACATATCATTAAATGATTCATGGATATACCGTTTTATTTTAAATTAATTTTTTTTAATTCAGATTTATCAAGTAGCAAAAATTGGTTGTTTCAGTTTTGAATCTGTCCTTTATCCAACGCTAATATATTAATGCCTATATAACCTTTGAACCATACGAGTCGATGTTTGTTCAGCTATTTATGATTGCATTGTACTAGTTGTAATATACCCACTGCATTGGTTGGAAATTCCCAAAAACGGTTATAGGTTCCAAAAAAGAAAAGAAATTGGAGTCTTACTTTCTAGGTATAATTATTTTGTGAATTTTATTTTACACGTTGCAGGCCGATGTCGAACCGCACTGGTGTACGTGTTTAAATTGGGAATCTGCCATGAATAATAGCGAGCAAATAAATATATCTATCATGTTGAGTAAAGCTGTTGTCCAAACGATCAATTCACACACAAAATCTCAACGACACTTATGTGCTCCTCTGAAATTGGTTTGTAAACAATTTTCATGAAATTTTGCTTAAGAAATGTAGTCACTGGATTCTTAAGTGATATTAGATATTCAGTGAAATTTTGCGGACTTTAATCAGTACGTGAGTCGTGTATGCTTTCTAGCTGCATGTTGTGTTTGCTATAATAAGATCAACGGTATACTTAGTTAATGATAACAGGGATATCATGTGTTGTCCTCTTACATTTTCCTTCATCCTGTTGTGATGCGTTGTGTAACAGCCATTATTGATCTTTACTGTTTATTAATCACAGCATCAAATTTACGATCTATTATTGAACTATTATAACATTATTGGAAACAGTTCATTCTTACGCACCATTTCACTCCTTACATATTGCACATTTCCCGTTTTACTTTTTTCCATCTATAAATGTTGCTTAATAAGTTGAATATAATTTTTTTGTAGGCAAAGCTAGAAAATGCTTGGAGGCTTGTTCCACATGAAAACTTGCTTAAATATAAGGATGCAAAAGATATAGATGGTTTTGTACCAAATTTGGTTGCCAAAACCAAAGCTGCATTTGCACATTACCAGTTGAGATTTGTTACGAAACCAGGAAATGCTCTCTATGAGGTAAAGTTTTTATAAATTCTGCTAATGAATTCATGCTCTAAATCATCAGCATATAAGTTTTTGGATTATCGGTTTTTATAAAACAAAACTTTTCACTGTTGACTTATTCAAACCAGATTGTGACAAGAAACCGGAGTCAGACTTTGTTCAAGACTCCGGATAATTTATATTATGTTCAAGACTCCGGATAATTTATATATTATATATATATATATATATATATTATTATAATATATATTATAATTTATATTACGTGTGTTTGATGAGTATTTCATCATTATCTATACGTTACAGGCAACCGTACTGTATGATATATTAAAGAATACAGTAACAGTTGATATGACATCGATCAGTCATGTCAATAGATATGGCGATTTGCCCCACTGTATCATAGACACAAACTATTTTTTAGCAGCGTATTGTGTTTGCTATGATAAGATCGACAATACTCTTAGTAATTCATAATAGTAAAGTAAAATCATATGTTGATTTTTTACGCTGTCCTTGTCTTGTTATTCCTTGTGTGAGGGTCATTGTTATGCTTTGTAGTCATCTTTACGTATCATTATTGCTAATTTTGATACAATCACATTTTTTCTGATCTTATTTTTTTTCCGGTTTTTACTTTTGTGGAAACACCAACACTCATATAATGTTGAGCGAATGTTTGCTATTTTTTCCAATTAGTCCGCTTACAGTATAACTTTCTATTTTCATGGTCTAATCTTAGTCGAGCTTTATGGCTTCGGTGTTGTATGTCTGATCTGAGTTTAAGGGTTGATAAGGTAATAAATAAACCGAAGAGCAGTAATTAAATAATAAGGAAAGCTAAAGTTGACAACGGAAGGGGAATGAATAGGGAAGTTTATTCTCGCTAATGATATTCTTGTCTATCATCTAGAATTTTTAAAAAAGGATAATAATTGTTTTATTTTTCTCTTCATCTTACTGAGATTAGTCCTTATTTCACTTATGTAGCTGTGGTAGTTTTAGATTTACTTCAAATTCTTATGTTGTCTTCACTTTTTCTACTTTCAAAACTTGAATCTTATATTTATTTCGCTTTTTCATTATTTTATCATTATTATTGTTATTATCACTACTAGTAATTATTATCATTATTTTTATGAATAACCCCGTGAGATGTGCCTTTTAAGATGTTTTAAAAGCGTTAGGGTCATTGACTTTATTCTATTTGCTTCTCGTTTAAAAGTGCTTTGACATATGCCGGAAGCTTTTTGTGAAATGAACCTTCCCTCATCGAAATTCCAGTTCAGGAAGCCAAGAACTATACCAAAGACTCAGCACAGAGTTTCAACCGTTGATGCTACAGCATTTCGACCATGCATAGACTACCCTTCAAAGCTGTTTTGCTGATCTATAAAGGTCAGTAACTAATTTTATATTTTCATTTAATTCAGATTATTTATTCAACGTGACTAACAGTTCTTTTTTTGTCATTTAATGCTGAACAGTATACTAACAACATGACGGGTAATGAAACACCAAGCGGTTTCCGTGCAAATGTTTGTTTCATATATATTAATATTTTTTCTTTTGTTCCCTTTAAAAAATCAGCCTCTCTCCATCTTCACAATCATGTCATATTTTTTATCTGCATTTTTATCTATTGCTACAATTTTTCATGGTCAGTAATATTAAGTCATAATTGTATTTTTCTCATCTCTTTCTCTGATATAGTTCCCAGTGCTTTCGCATTTCTTCTGTCTTATCTATTTTTGCTTCTTATCTGTTGTGTCGCCTTATGTTATCCCACGTTAAGAAGCACAACAATTTGATTTATGTACAAGAAGCACGCTCAAAACAGATCTTTTGATCATCAGCCAGGCTTTTTGGAAAGTGAAATGGTTAAACGCCTCAGTAGTATTGGGACTGAAAACGCACCACAAAAATATCGGTTTTGATAAGCTATTTCAAAATTCCGTAGATTAATAGATTGCTAGATCATTGTAATGCACGGAAATCATTGTTACAAAGTTCATTTCTTTCTTTATGAAAAGTTCTCCGGATATAGAAGTACGAAGCGCAATTTAATTTGTTTTTGGAATGGTGGCCTTCCACTGGATTGTCAGGTTCGTTTTCTCCGTGCTTTTTCGATGTGATATGTTCTGTTTGACAAAGGAACCCATCAGTTGGCATTCTCTTTTATGGGACTGTTGACTGATGTTTATTTCATGAAGCATTCTTTTAGATAAGTCAATGTATTCCTTTGAACAAGTTTTCATGGCTCAGTGCAAACTGGTATAAAAATTCATTTTCATAGCATTCCTTCTGCATTGAAAACTGCATTCTCCAAGTTCTCCATATAAATTTGATTTAAACTGGATAAATGGTTTTTTTTAAAAAAAGAAAAGAAACTTAAATTATTCCGATCAAAATTCTTTTTTAATGATCTTTAAAAAATGCTAGGACGGACAACTTAACGAACAACACTGTAAAGAACAGAAGCACTCCAAGTTCTTACAGTATGCATGAGTTCCATCTCCTCTCTGAATATTCTTCTTGGAACTATAGTACAAAAAGAGATTGCTCTGTGCTGCACATATTCAGGATATACAGTACACTGTAACAAAACGTGGAGCAAAATCCAGATTTTCGACATTACCACCTTCGACCAAACATCACCGTTGCTGGAAATCAGAACAGTTAAATGTCGATGAGAATGCATACTAGTGTATTTAGTTCCGTATCATTGATAATTATTTTGTTAACTGACCTTTCCTACTCTGTTCAACTGCATCATTAGGTGTGAATGAACAGTTCATAAACCAATGCACAAGCTGAATGAGATCATGCATAATGAGTTTTCTTTTGTAAAATGGCTTCATTGCCTACCACACTTCATCTTTGATTTCTCAGGCACTTCCTCGATGTACTATCCATTCGGGATTCTCTGTTTTCCTCAGAAACGAAAGAGAAATCATCCTACTTATCAGTATCGAGAAACTGGAACTACCGGCTAACAAGACTGTGAAAAACCGCAATGTGAAATGACTAATTTTTTTCGCCAAAAATGCAATTAACATTAGTCTTCTGATATATTTTGCCTACGGATCAAAAATCATAATGCTATTTGTTAGTTGCACGTAACAGATTTCTGAGCAAACCGTACTTCAACTTTTTTATTCGTTTAGTCGGTCATTGGGGAATAAATATACGAAAGCAAATTTTTTCGGTAAAGAAGATTTTACAAATAAAAGATCTCTGTGCTCTTCTTCAATTTCTGTCACATCAGTAGCGCTCCTTCGTCGCTATCTTTTCCGGACAGAAGGAAGAATAATGATTCTTCCATTCTTTTTGTAAACAGCTGTGGAAACGAATGCTGCAAAACTGAATTTTATGAAATGTGGAACGACGTGTATTAATCTTTCTTTGCTTTCATACTAATGACAAAATGAAGTAGTGATACAGTGAACTATTTCAGCAATGCAACTATTGTTATGAGTATTATCAATTCAATTATATCATATAGAGCAATAAATACTATCGAGGATATATAGAAACAACATGCCGATTTTCCACCGAACATTGCTTCTAATTTCTATGTCTTTTTTTTTCTATTGTTAGACCGTTAATTACTGTAATAAAAACTCCAAAATATGGGAATTTTTTTTTTCTTCTGCAATAATAAGAACGCATTCATTTAGAACAGCTGCTAAACATATATATCATGAGTTGTCTATCTCAAAAAACTGTATTGAAATATTCACAACTTGTAATCTTACCACTTCCTCATCTAAACGTGCAACAAAAACTATGTGATCGTACTTCGAACATCGCTTCATTCGTTTCCTAATACAACTTATCCATTTGTGGATGTTCAAATGAAAGCTGACTGCAAAACAATGACTCGTAATGAAATCTTACCGGGAGTTTTTGGAGAGCAATTCGTAAAAATTTTTGGATGAATTAAGTCATAATTTTTAAAAAGAAAACAAATTCCTTAGTAGCTACTATCACCAAAATACAGACAACAGTAACACATGATAAATTTATATTTTGCTATCTTCGAGAAATCTTAGACCACGAAAAAAAAATGTGATAGATGGATGTACCATCGTGCATACTGCTCCGGAAAACACCTCGTTGTTGATGGAATACAGTAATCCTCATCCGGAGAATTTCATCCTGTGCATATCTACAAAAATACTAAATCAGATAATAATTCGTTTATCTGTTTGTTCTAGAGTTACACTGGTAAGAGATATGAGAAAAGGTATTATAATTATGAAGAGGGACCCTCACATTTTTGTACTGCTGAGGTAAAAGGATGAAACGACAGCTTTATGCATTCTGCAACACCTTGTAGCGTAAATCATTTTAACTCCATAACACTACATCTATCTAATACCTTTCACAGGTAGGCGTAATAGTCACATGACTGATGAAAATGAAACCTGAGTTTATCGCTCACAGCATTTAAAATTGGTGGTGGTGCACTTGTCATGATTGCTGCTGCTATTTACTATGAATAAGAAATTTAGTAAAATGAAGAAGTATTGTACAAACAAGTTTAGATTAGCTTTATGAAAATAATCCAAGAAGGTAATAAGAGCATTCACGCATATGTCACCACGTGATGTGGTTACTGAAATAGTTTAGGAAATGACTAGGGAAGGGTGCAGTAGGAAAAAACTGAAGAAATAAAAGATATCTGATGATAGTAAAGATTGTGAAACCGCTGGTACTCATCGTTCAGCAGCCACTACTACTAGTACTAGTAGTAGTAGTAGATTTGGCGGTGTTGCTGTCTCGTTGTACAGAATTGGATCACTGATGTGAATACCGCAATTTATTATAAGGATAAAATAATGCATTATCAGCAGGTTATCATAAAGATAGCCTTCCAGGCAATGCTCGAGAAACTTTCAAATCTTTTCGTTCACATACCATTCATTCACTGGTCATTTTGTCGACGTGTTCATATGGTAGTTACCCATTCATTGATATACGGAATTCACATGCCAAACGATGAAGAATGCAAGAGTCGGCTTGACCGATTGTTTGTTATTGGTGTCAAACAGATGCATATTTGAACATTGCTACATCTGAAAGTGATGTGATGATGAAATATCAATTTAAAAAACCCTCCGCCAAATATTCGGAAGTTAAGTTATTCAGTATCTCACATCTACGCAATAGATCTCAGCCATAAAAATTTTGAAATTTTATTTTGTAATGATTTTAATAGATATGTACTATTCATTGTTAAAAAGAATTCAAGAATGACATTACTATCATCAGTTTTTTTCCCTTTTTTTGTTTTTTTGTTTGGTTCACATACTTCAATATTTTTGAAGGAAGACGGCGGTTTCCAAGGTGACATAATACTTTTCCCATTTATTTCGTGTCGTCACATCGCTAACTAAACTTTATATCTTCTCCTTTCTACCCATACTTATATTAATTTTGCTAAACATTTATATGTCTTAGTTGTCTAAAAATCTCCTATAATACACAACACATTAACTTCTTTACTGCTATTATCACCTAAACTCTAATAAGCTTTTCGTGTTAAAATCTAAAATGTGATTAATGCGAATGATGAAGTGCGAAAGAAGTTTTCATTTAAAAATAGAGTTATTTATAGTTATATCTTATTATTTTCAATAATATCAGATGAGTATGAAGCAGCTGATATGTGAACACCTAAAAGTTTAATTTCAAATCCACTGGGAAGCAATTTTGATTTAAAGATGATGATTATGAAATCGCTAAGTTGGATGACATCATCTTCATTGTTATGGTTTGTTTATTTCAGCTATGAAAATTATTGATATGTCAGTATTAATCGTCTCTTTACTCTTTAATCTAAATGATGTAAAGAATTACGAAAAAAAATTTTTTTTATGATACGAATGAATCATATGAAATATAAATTCAGTTCTTCCACCTCACCTCTATTTTATATGGTTTCTCGTGATAATATAGTTTCAAATCGTCAGCATACGTGTTATAAAAAATTAATTTGAGACTTTTTTTCTTTTTCATTCCAATCAATTCCAAATATTTTTTTTGTCATAAGGTTATGAATTTTTAAATTAAAGGTCATTCATTATTGGATCAAAACGTTAAATGAGAAAACAAAAGCTACGAGTGAAGAAAATGGTGAAAACATCAGCAGTGGCATGTGCTGTAACTGATGAAATAGCTACAAAACATGATCGTTTTATTGATATTTTCAAACAAAAAATGAAGTATCGATCTATCAAGCGTCTTTTTTCTTTACATTTCATTAAATTTATTAACTTTTATTTTGCTCGACTTTTGAAATCTTCAGAGTGCAAAAGATTTCGCATTAAAAAAAAAATGAGATAATTTGAATTACTGAATCATACAGTGTGATATTTCCTAATGATATGCTACGCACCACCACATAAAAGCCTTAAAAAAGAGACCTAGAATGTCAAAACTGAAACGACTCTCTTTAGTTTAATTAACCTCAGACAACGAGTTTTAATTTATGGTCATAATGAAAAATTCATAGCTTCTTCGGAAGTGATGACCCTTTTAGGCAATCATATCATTGATTTTCCCTTAAATCATTACTTTACATATTTAATATAAACAATACTTAAAATCCCTTTGCAGAGGAATGATATTTTTTGTGGTAAAACCAACATCGTCTTTGTTGTACTATTGGACAGCACTTGTTTGCATCAGCTGTTTTTATAATTTGCTTATGGTCGTGATATTTGTTTACAGAGAAATTTACACCTATTATTTTTACTATTGGCTAACTTGTAATTTCATATGCGATATTATATTTTTAGTTGATATGTTCATACAGTCAAGAATAAGTAAGTTTCGATAAGGTTAAATGTTCAATAGCAACCAATTTCGAATAACCCGAGTTTCAACTTTTTAAATTATTTTCATCAGAAATGTTTAGTAACTCTCTATGAGAGAGAGAAAAAAAAAAGAAAGCAGGAGAAAGACATTATTATAGGTTATATTCATGATGGTATAGCTGCTGTAAACTTAAAAATTCAAGCCAGAAGATATTTTCATAGGTGAGTTTGCCTTTGCTATAGATTAGCGAGAGTTTTCTTCTTGCAGGAAAAAATTCTTTTTTCTTCAACATTCACGTAATAAAAGTACTGCGCGATATAAGAATGTTTAATATTGTCGCGACCAGCGACATTTTGATATATACTTGAACATTCACTTATATTGTAATGTCACATAAATATTTTAATGAGAATCATTCAGTTTTATCTGTATTTCAATTTAAAAAAAAAAAAAAGAGAAAAAAAAAACTAAAATAAATATTAATGTGTAGCTAAGTACTAAGGTAAGCTATAGCAGAAAGCTAATTGAAATCAAAGTAGAATATTGATAATAAAATCGAACATGCAAAAATAGAAAACAAAAAATACAAGTGGAAAAAAAAGTGACATCGAAGAACACATAAGAAATTCATTAGAATTTATTTCTTACTGATCAAAAATAAATGCGCCGTTTGGTTTTATAACAAGCATCATTACTTTCCGTAATTAAATTAACACAAGATAACTGCAATGCCACCATTTAAAAATGCATTGCAATGAAGATTTGGGAAGTACGAAAGATTTGGAAATGCATTACAATGAAAATTTTGGGAAATTGTTGCAGTGTGATTATGATTTGAATTGTAAATTAAAATTCTCATATTTCAGTTATAATTTTTGGTTGGATATTGGTAGCATATTTCCATTTGATGCTCTATTAATTTATCGCGGTGATATATCGTTGGTGCGCCTTAATCGTTTGCTGAAATCGTATCGTTTCAATTATTTTATTGATCGTACTGAAATCCGCACAAATTGGCCAAACGCATTCAAAATATTCGTCCTCATAATGACATGTGTTGTGCTGTTTCACTGGAATGCTGCTGCATATTTCTTAATCAGTGTTACAAGTGGTATTTACAGTATGTTTAATCATTTGATTGTTTCAAAGTTTTATTTAAATGAACCCGGCAATACTTTTTTTTTTTGGACAGTTAGATTATGAGCTCAATAAAATAGCTGCTTGAAATATTATCTGATAGTCCAAGTGTTCCAACAGTTAGAATAATTCATTCAGGTGAAGATCCTGATGCATGGCAGTTCACTTATACGAAAATCGCGGATCCAGTGATCCCGAAATGTAATACATTTTTACAAATAAGTGATTCGACAAGTTGCAGTTTTAATGAGACAGATAGAAATGTGAACAATCGCCTTGAATATATTGACGAAATGATGCAGTACTGGAGAAATAGGTACATCATTAGTTTCTTTTTAGAAACTTTTTAGCTATGCTTTTCGTCGAGTGAGGTACATGTAGCTTTTAACAATTATCTAGCTTACAACAAATTCAAATTTGCATACTTCAGGTCAAAAGTACTGAAATTTCCAAACTTCAGTAAAGAATATGCATTGTCAATTTATTGGTCATCACTAACATTGACAACGAAAGGACAACAGGTTTTAACCTCTTCTTGATTTTGTAACTCTATTTTATTATTTTTTAGGCTTGAGCAGTCAATCTTGTGGCATCTTTTTTATAGATAGTGTTTAAGTGAAGTAGTTAGTACTGCACCTTAAGTGGTTAATCGATTGATATACTAGAGATTAGTTTTAAGGAATTGTTCGATGTTATGAAACTTTTTAGGATATCATTGTACAAGCATTTTAGGATCACAGTTTTGTCATTTTTTCCATTTTTTCTTTAAAAGTTTGATTTAATTTTTACTTTGGGTAATAAATTCAGAAATGTATGATTGGTTAGAAATCTATGTGGTAAGTTGACGGTAACTTTTAGCCTTATCCAATGAGTTCACTCGAAGATGCTCTTGAAGTTATCGACACGCTAATCGGTTTGTTAATTTTTGCCGTAATTGTTGGATCTGTCGGCAGTATCATATCAACAATGAACAAAGAAAAGTCCGAATTTCAGGAGATTCTGGATGGCATTAAATTTTACATGAATTATAGGTATTTACTTTCTGTGATGTTAATTACCAATGATGAAATTGTAATTCTTATTTCTTGCTTCAATGATGAGATGTGTTCAGAGCTTTCATATAAAAGTATGTGCAATTATTTATATCTTTAATATTTAGGAAGGTGGACTCAGATATTCAGAAACGGGTTCTGAACTGTTGCGACTACATCCATGATCAAGGAATCTCCAAAGATGAAACTGTAATTTCTATTCTTATTTCTTGCTTATTGACCATTAAAATCTCACGCATCTTTGTGACGTTATTTCAGGCACTTCTAGACGGATTACCTAGAAAGTTGCATGGTCAATTGGCAATACATTTACATATGGTTACGTTACAACACGTAGAATTACTTCAGGTGAACAGGAATTTATTCTTACCCTCAGAGAAAAAACTGAAGACAAAACATTCGAAAATAATTTAGAAATAATAATTTAGGAGGTTATTCTGGATTTTATCCAGAAATTTCACTGCCATCACAAAAAACGGGAGCATTCGCTTTATTTTAATTTTATTATATTTCAAAGTTGCATCATACTAAAATAATTCTATTTAGGACTGTGAACAAGGATTACTCTACGACCTAATTCTTCGATTGAAATTTCAGCTTTTCGGTCCAAATGACTATATTTGTCGTCGCGGTGAACTGGCTCGAGTATGGGTCATTATAATAAAATCTTCTTTGGCAGAAATATAATAATTTCAAGTGATTTTAGTCCTGCTTATATAAATAATTAAATAATAGAATTAATCGTACTTCTGTAGGAAATGTATATTGTGAAGCGTGGACAACTTAATTGTGTTAGTGACGATGGCAAAGTTATTCTTGGAATCCTAAAGGAAGGTGCAGTTTTTGGTCAGTTGGCCATTCTTAATTTATCTGGAAAATGTGGTGGTAAAAAGCATACGATGGCAATTCGTTCAGTTGGATACACTGATGTTTACATTCTACGCCAGGAAGATGTAAACGATGTTTTGCAAGAATATCCTCTAGCACGACGAAATTTAACACAGAAAGGTTAGAAGGTCGTTTTTGATAAATTATAACAAACTATCTTCTTCTTTAGTCCAACAATCATGCAAAGCATAAAATAAACTCATAATTCGCGCAAAAAAGGAAATCTTCAGCGATAAAGATGCTTCGAGACGATGGCTTTTGGAATAACACAATAATTAATGCACAAAAAGTTTATGGTAGCACTTCAATATTGGAAGAACAGCTTGACGGAATTGCAGGGACAATTAACGCACTTAGTGACGAAATCACTCGATTATATGAGCTTCTTGATGTAAGCCTTCCAATTTCTAGAATCAGTCAAAGCTATAAAACGAAATATTCATGTGGTAATGCCAACAGAAACTAGTTCCAAAAACCAATATTTATCCTTGCCGTTTAAGTGAATTCCTTTCATTTTTATCACCAAGACATCTTTATCAAAAACTTCTTTGAAAAACTTGCAAAATAAATCATTTTGCAGAATATGTCATTGGATTTCAAGCAGCGACTCACTAGACTTGAAAGCGCGTATAAAACAAAATGTGAAAGACAAAAAATGAGAAGGCAGTTTGTCATAAAGTATAAGCACTAAGAATATTTTAATTATTATATCATTATCTTCTTGACCAATCCCGAACACGAGAAGGAAGGTTTAATATTAAATTTGTATTTACGCAAATAATATACAACCATGAGATCACAGGAAGGATAGAACATTCAGGATGGTAGTCTCAAGGCTGTCGCACGTCAAGTATGGCTAATTCATTAAGGTTGAGGAACTTGCTGGTCCATCCTTTTCGATCATTGGGAGTTGCAAGAAATGAAAAAAAGAAAAAATCGAATATTGCATTTCCAATTTAATAATTTATTGGTTACTTGAACAATTGATTAGCAGATAAAACCAATAAAATATTCCTAAATTCGGAAAATTATTCATCGGTTATATGAAGTATTGCTTACTGAATGCTTCGCATCTTACAATGCTGTAATCACTGTTATTACAAGTGAAAATAAAGATTGAGAAAGTGCTTTTGTTGTATATGGTGCAGTTCTCATCTAATCTTTGATCTATTTTCGAATCATTCAATATAACATGTCGACTATACTCCATCTCAGAATTCCCGGGAACTCATAGTTTGATGAAAAATTTCGAACAATGTTTAACGACGAACTCCACCGCATGCCAACCTCTCACCTACTTTTTTCTTTCAGCCTTTTGGCCGCATTAATACCTGGTACTTCATGACTTGTCCGACGCTGCCACAGAATTACTAGATGGGTGTGCATTTGGTTTTTCACTACATTAATATATATTTCAAATCGTTTGTGGGAAATACTGATATCAGTTGTTACAGGTGGATTGTTTGTTGTCTCTTCCTGTTTCCTTTTCTTTTCAGTTATTCAGAAAGCGTCTGATATTTTTTGATTAGCATACAACTTTCTAGCTAGCACGTGATTTTTTTTTCAGATGCCGAAATTTCCAACTTACTGAAGGGAAAAATACTGCTAAAAACAAAAATAAAGCTCATTTACTTGCAAGTTAAGACTTTTTTGAAATTATTTGGTGAAATTTTATCAAGAACATGTCGCTTTACGATATATTCGGCGAAGATCCGGTCCATGAAAAGGGAGACGATAGCCGCTCACCTAAAAAAGGTTTTTCATTGATTGAATTAACTGAAATGGTTTATATCCGTGCTTCTTTTTACGCCGTTTTTTACAGCGTCATTTTCTATACTGGTCTTTAGTGTGTTATGTAATGCGGCGTCTTTTTTCCTGTATTGTAATATGCTTATATATAGCTTTAGTTTATTTGCAAAAAGCATTTTAGGTCTTCCATCTGGTTTGAGACTTCTTCAGTCACAGATACATATTAAGAAAACACAACTGGGCCAGCAGGTTTGTGTTTCTTGGAGATTGATGTGTTACTGGAGGCGTAGCACCCTTGAAATAAGAACTACATTTTTTTTTCAGAGAAGTGTGGTTACACCTGTTGTTGACTTATCTGCAAAAAATCGTCCTTCGAATACCACTTTTTTGAAGCCTCATAAAGCAATGCCTTTAGGTGATGGACCACCGCTTTCATTTATACCCAAAGCACTGAAAGAAGACAAGGTATATTCCATTAAGAATATGCAACTAAAATTGATTGAACTGCTAAATCATTAATTTTTATAATTCAACAATTCATTACTCAAAATACTTTTAGGTATTTCTTTTTGGTGAAATTCTAGTTGAAGATGAATACAACCCTACAGCTCCAACCGATTACGCCAAACATAAACAAAAGATGGATGAGAGGAAAGCAAAGGAAAAAATTGCAAAAGAAATTGCGGAAAGATTAAGCAGGTATGCCGCATATTGTGCTTTCTGTGCTTTTTTTTTTTTTTTTTTTTTTCATATTTGTAGAATAGGAATTATAAATTCATTCTTTGAAAACCTTAGTCGATATTTGGATTTTCTTTTTCAGGGAACATCAGGAAGAAATTGCAAAACGTACAGCGGGAGCAGCAATTGCACCACCCAAAATTCTCATGGAAGAAGACAGTAAAGTTGAATCACTAGCAACACCTGATGCTGGTAATACGGCTTCTGAAATGCCACCACCGTCATTTATACCATCATTTGGTGCTGGAAAAGGGCTGGGGGTTGCTGCTAACATTATGTCCAAATTTGGTTACAAGGTACAAAAGAGTTTTTTTAACCATACTGGTACGGGGAATTAATATTATCCATTTTTGTTATATATTTGTTAGCTGAAAATTTGGAATTTTTACTATTCATTAATTAATGTGTACTGTTCGCGTTGAACAGTGGTATTTCATAAGCTTTTTTTCAGGAAGGCGCAGGTTTGGGACGTTCTGGTCAGGGGATGAGCACGGCTTTAAAGGTTGAGAGATTAGGGAAAAATTCAGGGGTAATAGTGAATGAACACGAACTAAATACCCGAGGTTTGTTTCAGATAATATATAAGATGTGATCTGTACCAGCCGACTTATGTTTCTGCAAAATTTTTTGTTTCTGGAATGAGTTTTCTAAATGTTCACTAGTTTTACAGCTGAAATATCTGCTTCGCCGCCGCCATTGCCAACCATAAATGCAACACCTGCTGCAAATATGACTGAAGCCTTAAAGCAGTCATCGCGCATACTCTTGCTGCGGGTATGTATATTAAAATTTTCTAAACCAGCTGAAGAATACTCTGCATAATACCCTGTATTCCACTAACTACTTTATCACTATGTATATTGTAATAATTTTAATGCAGCTTAACAATTTTTCTGGTCAACATAGAGGAAGAATGGAATAAAAATTTAAACTTTGCGATCTAGTGATTATTGAATATTCCCTTTTGTTTAAAAAAAAAGCAATTGAATAACTTGACTGTTTGCTTAATATTGATTGGGTCGTCAGTGCAGCTTCATTATTGAAGTTTTTAGAATATGGTCAGTCCAGATGAAATTGATGATCAATTGGAGCCAGAAGTGAAAGATGAGATGAAAAAATATGGACAAGTGAATAAAGTTGTCATTTTCAGGGTATGTTTTTGTTCCAAAGAAAAAGGACGTCCTCCAGCTGTATTTGAAGCAGGTAGCGTGAAACCGTAGCATAAAAAAAAAACTCATGTAAAAATAAACTCATGTAGAATTCTCCAGAAGTTATATTCTTTGTTGATTTTACTTATTAATTTGGTACATTCATCTTTGAATATCATATAATATGGGATGGTACACAATTTTACGTTCATCCTCTGATGTGGGTCCAGAGCAATATAGATGATTTTTCCCATACTTAGTTCATAAAATACTAATTTAAGAACAAATGGTGAAATGTGCAAAATTTTTTGTGGAATTATGGCAGTGTTGTAATTATTCACGGCAATTCATACACACTTATTTTCAGCTTCTTCAAGCCAGTGATGATGAGGCAGTTCGCATATTCATCGAATTTACGAACGTAGGTCAAGCTATAAAAGCATTCGTTGATTTGAATGGACGGTTTTTTGGTGGTCGTTCTATTAAAGCTTCATTCTATGATCTCGAGGCTTATAATGCTAATCAGTTTGGTCGATGATAACATTTCTAATTTGAATATCGTTTTAAATATTGTATCTAAAAGACAGAGTCATTCGCTTGTAACAACAAAATTTAATTGATAAGCATTCCTTTCGAAGTCCATCTGTCACTTTTCTCAGTTGACCTTTGCTGATTTAATTAGTTTAACATTTGGTCGTCGGTTCAGTTTGCTTAGCTTTACTCACAATTGACCAGTTATTAATTTGTAAGTGTCATTTTATGGAGGTGTATTTAGCATGTCACGAGTAAATTCATGTCTTTTTTTTTTTGATAGAAGACTGTACGAAGTTGAAGCGACCATTCAGTGCCTAATGGTGGTATTATTCCAACATTGTACAATTTTTAAACCTATTTCATATAAAGTTCTTATAAAGGCATGGATAAAAAACTATGGGTGTATAAATTCCGTCACATCATTCATGATATCTTCACATATCACTTGAAGGACAGTTGGTCGGTTCTCAAGTTTCGTACTAACATTAATTTCTGGGATAAATGTTCCAAGGCATTAAGGCAATTAATAGTTCAGCATCGTGCGCGGGTTCGCTTGCTAGGACTGGTCAGCATTACAGTATTTGACTTTGTTCTTGAGTTTTCGCACATGTCTTATTTTGTTTCATTGGTATGGTGCAGGTATGGTCATTTGTTGTATTATTCAATATTACGTGTATTTTAGTAGGCGATCTGATTCAGTTCCAGAATTTTCTCATTTGGTTGGAATTGTTTTGGGATGTTCCGAGATTTAAGTGCACTCAGGAAACGCTCGACATCGATTCGGTGATAGATGGAAATTACAGCAAGAGTTGCTAGTCTTGACCATCATAGGATGAACAAAGCCATACGCCAGGCTGCAGAAAATAGCTTCAAGGATTGGAAAAGTAAATTTCCCTTACCAGTGGTCATCAAATTGGAAAGAATCCATAATGAAGTTCTCTTATTCATCGATATGTTTCTATGGTTTAACCAGCTAAAGAGAGGTTAGTTCTCTCTGCACCGCGTTTTTCATTGTTATTAAATTTTTTTTTATTACTAGAACTCATATTTCTAAGCATTAAATTTGTGGAATGGTTTAACTCCTTAAAATATTGTTAATGATCTACTGAAATATTCACCAGGATATAACTTGGACCAGTTATCTAAATGGCAAAAAATTGTTCATTTCATACTTTCAATCCTGGCACCTTACATGCACAACTGTTTGCTTTCCTGGTCTAGTCACAATATGAGATGGATATATAAGATGACCGCTATTTGTCGCCTAGCAAATCTTTTACAACTTCTGCATTTTTATCATAAAGGTGGTTATCAGAATCTTACGGAAAGAATCACGCGCTTGAAAGTTGTGCCGAAAGAAACACTTGGTACGGTAATATCTGTTTGTTAAATTTTTTGGCGGGGAAAATAAAGTAGTTTTGACCCTTAAAAATAGTCATAATAAATGTGTCAACTGGCAAAAGAAATTTGTTTTATCAATATCTTAAATTTCTATCGAAAAATGGTGTTTATGTGAACGGTAGATTATATTATTCTATTGTATAAATTAGAATAACTACGGCGAAAGATCCCTTTGTCACTCACTAATGAAGTAATGTAAATATTTATTGAAAATGTTGTAATGGTAAGGAATTCCGAAGATAAATGAAGGCTGTTTCACGATATTAATCTGTTTATTAAACGTCTCGATAATACATAGGAAACATGTTAAATTCTACCTAGAAATTAAGAAATACAATTCGGCTCCTATGTTCTGAAAATATTTGCACCGAAATTGCTATTATAAGTTGAAGTACTTGGGAAAACAAAATGCTTTTCTCTTAGCCGCAATTAGTAATTTAATCTACAAATACGTCGGAAATATGAGGATATTAGTTTACAATTACTTGTATATCATCTCTTAAGTGAACCAAAAAGAAAGAAGTATGAGTGAGACTGAAGCTTAGGATAAAAGACGCTTTAAAGAAGTAATTTATGGCACAAAGAAAATGACTTGAATTTAAATCAGAACACTGAGGAAATAGTTTTCACATGCTATTTATTAGTATTACGAAGTCAACAAATATGTGCTCTTATTCAGGAATATTTAATCTACGAAGTTTGGGAAATTTTCTGTTAAAATTTCAACTTATTCAGGTTTATTGAATTTCGAAACACTCAATCGAAAACTCATGTGGTGTGTATTTCGAGATCTTATGGTTTTTTTGATTTCACTCAAGAACTGTCTTTGGAAAACAACAAGATCTAAAAGAGATGATGAACACGCAGATCTATCAGGAACATTATGCACACAATGTCAACAGAGAGTTGTGATACCGGTGAAGAATATTAGCTGTGGACATATTTCCTGCTATACATGTTATCACATCGAACCGTTTTGTGCAGTATGTGGAAGCGTTACGAAATCAGATTGTTTCCGTTTTCTACAACTGTCGAACCGAAATTTGTAAAGTGTAAACATTAATGCAACATATCCCTGAAACATATTTACGTCTTTACTTTCTTAACTTACTAAGCAGGTATTGTGCCTTTGCTTTTTTTCTCTTCTCGTTTAATCTGACTTCATATTCATCTTAATAACTGATTATCACCATCATCATGATAGCTTTGGAATCATTATCTTGCATAATGCCCAAAGTTCCTATATGGTTCCAATGTATAAACGTTCCTATCCTGTATATAAATTAAATTTACCAGTATTCTGCTAAACTTGGTTGAAATTTATGACTTTGTATTGATCAACACAAATCATAGTAGATAATTTTTAAAAAAAGTGCAATGAAAGAATATGGAGTATAGGTAATCTGGTAGACGAGCGTGAAAAGACGTAAGGTGGCTACAAAATAGAGCAAATCACAAAATAAGAGAGATCTTTCTGATTTGTATGCTGAACAATTTGGAGATCAAAATTACAGACTGTTTGTCCAACTCAAATTATTAAAAATTTTGAAATTGTGGATGGGAATGGTCTAAGCATAAATTGGTAAATTAGTAAGGAATTTCCATGAATGTTTGTGTTACTTTTACACGGAAACAAGAATGAAAATGAAATAGACATCCAATAAAATTATGGAAAAAATAACTAAGAAGTTATTACAATGAAATCTTAATAGTTGGTACTTTTTTTTCCTTATGCTTGCTACTAGCAAATATCGATAGACAAGCGCAAGCACTTGCCTTTACACTGATGTTGTAAATTTAAATTTTCAGAGTTTATTGAAATTGTTGCTGAACTCATTGCACTAAGTGATAGGACTTTTTATGACTAAAACACTTAAAAGCGTTAATCCTTTCCACGTTTTTATTAAGGCCAAGCATAAAGTACATTGTCATCCGTTATATTCATTTTTCATTATGAAGCGGAATAAGAAATATTGTCGCAATTTCCATTCGATGCATTGACCCTCAAATGACGATGTAGAATGACGATGCATTGACCCTCAAAGGTTCTACTACTGTATTATAGTGCGATAAATTACATTTTTGAAATACATTTGAAGAGGTCTTAGTGAGCTAAAGAAAGTGATACCAACTCCACAGATTAATTAGCCGTTGTTCAAATTGTTTCATGTGTTTTGTTTGATTTGTTAAGCAAATGGAAGGGATTTGTACGTAAAAGTCAGCTGAAGTTAATCTGTTTTGAAAACATTAACTACCAGATTATACCACATAACAGTGTATCGCTCCACTGTTAGTGTTCATTCGTAGATGAGATCCATGCAATGTGATCTGATATGTCAAGAGTTGGTTATTCTTAGCGATTCAAAAAGAAAAATCTTGAAGTGATTCATTAGAGTATTCTCAAGCAGGAAGATATTTTTTATGCCTACACGACCTTGTTGAATTAATAGCCCATAATGGCTTAGAAAATTAGCGTATTTTGGACGTAGAACTTCCGTTTAATTATTCGTTAATCAACAATCAATAACCTTAACTAACAGTCCAATGACAATAACTTTGTACCTGTTTAAACATCTGGAGTAATAAAAGTAACCGTTTCATTTTATTTCGACATTGCCTCAAAGCTGATGATAAGGAAGGACAGCTTAACACTAATTTAAGCATTTTTGGACGTAAAACATTCAGTTTAATTATTTACTAATTAAGAATTAGCGTATTAGGAATAACATTATAGACAACTTCCTGACAGTTTATGTCTGGGAATGTCTAGTATTATCACAATCAGAAATAAGCTTTTCAATAATCCTGATAACAGTTTATCCATTCCAAAACCATACTTATTTAATTGAAAAGTCAGTGACCTTAAACATATTTTAATGATTCAGAAATTGATATATAACTCAACTTGAACGGTTATTTTTATTGAAACATCTCAAGAAAACAGAGACGGCAAGAAGTATCAAAATATAAATAAAAAGCTGAACAACTTACCATTGAGCTAATGCTCATCTCTTCTGGATGAAGCCATAGCAGAAGTTGCCACCATATAGAGGAGGCTGGTGAGTACAACGAGGATAAGTAGATTAACAATAAGAATAAGAGTATTCTTATCAAAAGTTTTTTCGGCAGCTTCAACAATACTTTGTTTACGCGATGCAGGAGGCGCCATTGTCCAATTATCGCAGATCTTCGAATTCAATTGACAAACACAAACAGAGATAGACACAAACACAGGATGAGTTCACGATGAACGTAACTGTTTGAAGCTTGCTTTCTTTCCTCTGAGTGTTGGCTAAATGGATGATGGATCAACTGCACTCCTTCTCTTCTGTTAATCAGTGAAAACTGAAAATTGTCGAGAATTTCTAACTCCTAGCAAACAACTGCCACCTGATATAAGCTTCACCAGAGGGGCATGCAGAAATACTCTACACAACAATGCACTATTACAAGTTTTGCACTACTTGCTCTGTTATCATTCTCAACAGTCGTACACCATATACAAATTCCTTAGCAAATCACTCCTAATTTTCTTGAAAGCTCAAGTTTGAAAAATCTTGCGGAAGATACTCAGAGTTTATATACATTAATTCAAATACTGCTGTGATCGAGATTAAATAATTTAGTATAACAAAATTTCGATTATCGACAATCCGTTAGACAGTATTACATAGAAAGGAAAAGAAAATAGGTGATAGTGTTGTAGCCAAAAGTTACAATTAATTTTCGCATTCAAAAAGGAAAAAATGACATTTTTGCATATATCTTCTTCCCATTATAATAACTTAAACTTCAGATTAAAGAATTTTGGTTTGTTCGAGCATTCAATGTGTGATTTTCTGTTGATGTAGTTTAATCCTTGCGTATTGAACATCTCGTACGCAGAAAATGTGTAAGGAACTTTCGTTCATAAGTCTCACGTCTCTGGAAAACTTCATTTTATACAATAATTTTCATAAAATTGCAAACACTTGTCGAATTTCCATACCATAAAGAATCATAGCACATGTCCGTCCTCTTCTCACACCCTACTTCTGCTAAAGAAAAGATCGGGAACTATGCCAATAGGACACATGTGCACGGAAATTATCTTTTTTTTCTGATGTGTGGAGGTTTCCAGAAGTCAATGTGCATGAACTATAAGTAATACCGCTGTTTCATAAAATATATATATATATATATATTTTTTTACTACCATGTTCCAAAACCCATTTCTACGGCACTTAGTGTTGATAAACGGTTTTGGCTTTCACAGATAATTATACAACATGTTCATACAGTACATTATTACTCTATTATTCTATACTGGCAGTGATGATGTAAAAATAACCGACAAATCTTCCATCCTAATGAAGCCATTTTGCACATAAAAATTTGTCAATTGATCCTGACCATCCGTACCACAAAGCTTAGTCATTTAGAACTTATTTCACAAAATATTTGAAAGTTATGCAATGTAAAGTAAAGTTTTGCTTCTAGAATGTGTTCTTCATTAGAGAATAACAGAAATTTCCGACGAATTTGTATTAATTATTATCTCAATTTTTACTAAAGGAACTGATTTTGCATACAGTTATTGAAGAAACTTATTTGAACAAATTGTTACGCAGAGTGCAACTTCATCGGAATTACGAAATAAATGGTGCTGTTTTCAACAAGAAACTCTTTCCTTACAACTTAGAAAAACAATTATTCCTAAGCTGTCACATATTATTCGCTCAACTAACCATGACGTCCACACTTTTTATTAACACTATCAAAAACAAGCCTGTTGATACCATAACGCTTTTAAAAACATGACATAATAATTTTTGAACATCAAAATACACGCGAAGTATGCAAGGAAAAGATGAAAAAAGCAAAATTCGAGCGGAACCTGCTGAAGCGGTCCTTAGTTCACAGTTAATACATGATAAATTTCACCCATAGCCACCAATAGCTAAAACTTTGTTTGATCAATTTGAGCACCAAGGTTAAACAATTTTTCCTGCACAAAATCAGCAAGGGCTTTTCGCCTTTCACGTTCGGAGCCAGTGCGAAACCTCCACATATGTTCCTTCATATCCACCTCACAGCCTATCAACACTGTGACATGCTGCAATAAGAGAATAATCAGACGAAAATGCTTTTTAAAGATTTTTAAACGTTTAAACAAGATTCAGCAGACAGTCATTAAACAGAATACTAGAGAGCTTAGAACTGTAAATCCGGGTAACATGGATATATGAAAGATGTGTGTAAGGTTATATTTATTACCTTTCCTACTCTAGGGTAATATGGCTTTGATTGTGGCCAGACGTCAGCCATTTGGTGTATCCATATAGGTAGAAGTATAGGAGGATTTGGACTTTCCATTATCTAAAAGTTGAGACAAAAATATTTTGCTGAGTGAATTAAAATATGGTTCTGTAGAAATAAGATGTGAAGGATCATGTGTAAGCATATTAATAACAAAATCATCGCGTTCTGCTAAGAAAAATAAGACATAGCTTACCATACGTGCTACACCCCATTTGATCCGTATCGGAATGGGTGTTACTTTACCTTCGGGAAAAATATGAATCCACTGATTTTCTGCAAGTTTTTCAATGCAAAAATCAACTCCTTTTTGATAAACACCTTCACCGCGCACAACTGGTACACATTTACCCAATGAAAAGAACCTGGATATTTAGAGAAGTTAGAACAAAAGTTTACTTACAGATAGTTTTTTTTCTACGAAATATTTAAGATCAGAAAAAAACAATAGTGAAAAAAACAACAATTAATGAGCCTTTCATATGGAATCTTGAAAATTTAATAAGTTCAAAAATGTATTTAACTACCCTCTAGAAAAATAAATGGACGTCACCCTGAATGTATGCCACAACTTATTACATAAGGAAATGAATTTAGTATTTAGCATAACCTGAAATTTATTTAAAAAAAAAAAAATAGAATGAAATACTAACCAACTATGCCATGCTTTTGTGAAACATATGTTATGTGCTGCCAAAGTGTACCGAAATCTTGATATGTTCGAGAAGAATTCACGCCACGTGAACAGACCTAAGTGGAAGAATGAAACATCATTAGGGATTTAGTGCCGAAGAATTAAGTAAGATGAAATCTCAACTAACAAAATAAAATTTCTTATTTGCAGCGTTTGGTCATTAAATTCTTCGTTTACATATTAAACACTTACACCAAATTAAAGGATCATCCATGTTACTACGATGATTTGATATAGTGATCAACGGTCTTGACTTATTTTCCAGAGCAGACAGAAGTCGATTTTTATTAATTACTGATATACGATTCATGTCTGAAGTTATTATAACTTCAAAAAATCCACAATCCGTTAACAACAGAACAAGACCATTCAATCACAATTATCATATTCAAAAATCGTTTTAATACGTCGCGAAATGACGCACCTTCTAAAAGCATAGTAAGACACAAAAACTGCCAAAACATACTGTTATGAATATCATATCATTTTTGCATAAATAGAAACATACTTAATGAGAAGATAAGTTTGCACGCTGAGAGGACCGCGATGAGAGTAGCCTTGGAAGCAAATCTATACAAAGCATTAGGATTCTTTGGGAATGGCCATTGGAATTGAAATCCGTATGATTTGTCCATTTCTCTGCTAACATTTCAGTACCTGAAATATAAGGTTAGTACTCTACACATCTCCATGAACTAGCATAAGTAGAAAGAAAACCTACGAACGGCCTTTAATAATGAATAGTTTGCTCATTTGAATATTGTCCCTGTATTAGACTTATTGTATACCTGTTCTGCTAGTGGTTGTTTTATTGTTGCTTGTTCACTTTCATCTTTGATATTTAGAATGAGGGAGAAAGGAATCTTTTCTTTTGTTATGAAAAACTCTGTCATTTTGGAGGAGTAGAATGACCGAATATGAAAGCTTTGAAAAATTCTGTCAATTAAAATTAGCCATCAACTTTATGATTTAAAACCTTAGCTTCTTTGATCTTTTGTTTTCAGGATGTTGTAGATTAGCTACCGGAAATTTTGGATTGTACAGAGATTATTCACAACTTACAATCCAATAAAAGTGCTGAAAGGATGATGGCAGCGGAACAGTGCACCATTTCGGAATTATTATATGAAGCCGATTTGTTGTGGTGCATTTTTCCTTTCATTTGCTTTTAAGCTTAGCAGTTGCAAGCAGCCAAATTGATGAGTGATGATATTAAATACGACAAAGCTGCTCCCAATTCTTATCCAATTAAAATACATTACTTATAGATTAAACTATGTAAAATTAGACAAAAAGTTGACCTCAAATTAAATTCATCAAAGTTGTAAAGTTCTATTAATTGATCGTAGACCATTTTAAAATAATAATTAGTTGATTAATACTTGTGGATTGTGGAAAACTGTATATAATTTCAAGAAACTTGCTTCTCTTAGAATTAGTGTGTGATGTAAGATCAATAACTTCTTGTGATAAATAAGGAGTATGTTTGTAGGTAATCTCAATTAAGTTATTTCAGTTATGAACATTCCATGCGAACGGTCCTGAGGTTACGTAATGCGGCTGATATGAGTTATGTGGATAAGAAAGACCTGAACAAAATTGGTATGAGCAGACCGGAGCAAAAACGCTTGCAAGAAGTTTGCTGTCGGAGATTTTCCAAGTCTTCGATTATGGGAAAGTTACGAAGGAAGATCCTTGGCAAAGGCATCACTTTCGTTCATATTTCTTATTTCAATTTCCATTAGTTGACAAATTATGATATTTCATCAGTAGTAGTACTTCTCATTATTACGACCTTGGTGTATTCATAAGCTTGAATCCCCAAGTTATTTTCTTCTCTTTTTTGACACTTTTCAATAATATAAAAAGTATCTGTATTTTTTTTTTAGAAAGGCTAAAGAAAAAAGAACATTCACCGAATTACCAAGAGCAGCACGTTATACCTCTGGAAAATATCATTTTATCCAAGCAGTTGGGAAAAGGAGAGTTCGGATCTGTTTATCAAGCCGCTTGGAATAATTCAAATAACAATGAGCAAATACAGGTATTTGCTACGCATAATTTTACTACTACTGGATTTTAAATCACGAGAATCACTAAGTCAGTCATTCGATATAACATATGATATATTTGTTCAATTTATGTCGCATATGGCCGTTCATGAGCTATTTAAGGAGACTCAAATATAAGAACTCTTGGTTTTCTCATTTTCAACTACGAAGTTTACATACTGCTGACAAGATGACGGCTAATTTAATATGGCTTGCAAAGCTCTGTTTCAGGTAGCTGTGAAATGTATTTTGCCTCAAAAACTGTTTGCCAATCCTCTTAATTTTTTGCAAGAAGTCGCAGTATTGCACAAGATGGGTCATGAATGTGTTGTCAGACTTTATGGTGTAGTATTGGATACTAAAGCAGTTATGTTGGTTGGTTTTTGGTTGGGGAAATAGATTTTTTTTTTCACAACAAATGTTCATCATCTGAAAAGGCAGCATCATTTATTATACTGATTTTTCTGTTATTTGTTTTTTCACTCCGTCGTTCAGTTTTAAAATATATTAGTATCTGCTTGAATTATTTCAATTACATTCGTCCAGGTATCTGAATTGGCACCTTGTGGATCATTACTGGAGTGCCTTCTACGTGCTACATTTTTTATGGATACACTTTGTAAATTTTCGGTACAAATTGCGCAGGGCATGAAGTACATATCAGATGAAAGACTTATTCATCGTGACCTTGCAGCACGAAATGTTCTTGTTTTTTCTACTGAAAGGGTAAATGGATGCTTTTTCATTATAACATATAGATTGTGAAAGGACGTTTCCTTTGTTCTCTTTATCTTCTTGAAAATGAAGGCTGATATGTTTAAGAAGTGAAAATAGGGTGATATAGAACAAGTGAAGGAGACAATGGTAAAACAATGGTGAAATAAATATTAACACATTTGTTGAGAGTGCCATATATTAAATTCTGCAGCTAATTGCAGGTGAAGATTTCGGATTTTGGATTAAGCCGTTTTTTGGGCATGGGCGAAGATTATTATCGAAGCGAATTTTCAGAAGCAGTAAAACTACCGATCGCGTGGTGTGCCCCTGAGGCCATTAATTACCTAAAGTTTACGTCTGCCAGTGACGTCTGGTCATATGGTGTGACATTATTTGAAATATTTTCTTTCGGTCAGATGCCATGGGCTGGCTTTAGCGGTGCACAGGTTATTTTTGTTTCGTCTTTCAGTAAGGTTACTTGGAAAAAAAATCCAATAATATGGATCGTATTGGGATATTCTCTAACTAGTCCTTCGTTCAGATTGTTCAAGATTTTCTGTTTTCTTTATTATAGCCTCTTCAGCACATTGCTTTTTCAGATATTAGCAGCAATAGACTATCCAAATTTACAAAGATTGGAACGTCCAGACGCTTGTCCACGTGAATTCTATGAACTCATGATGCAATGCTGGACTCACAAACCGGAAGAACGTCCTTCTTTTACTGACATCGTCCGCGAACTTCCAGAAATCATGCCTCAGTGTCTAGTTACTGTGGCATCTTGCTGTGACGGAATCATTGACCACCTCCAGTATTTAAAGAATGAAACCATAATTGTGCTTGATAAGTGGTTAGTAATTAGTTTGTGTTTTTAGTCGAGCAATGATTTCTTCCTGTGTTTGTTATGTGATGGCATTCTTAGACAGATTTCAGGTGTCTAGTGTGTGTTCTCATTGTAGATCAAATGTTAATCCCTACCTTACTCTAGTTAAGACTTCCGGTGATTTAGATTGAAGTTTCAGTCCTTCGACATATCCAGATGGCTACTTCTGGCGTGGATACATGCGAAATGGTCGAACAGGTTTATTTAGACCCGAAGAAACAGTTGCAAAGCTTGCCATCGAATTGTCGAACAGCAAATGCAATCAATACTTGTCATCAGTTCCCCTTTTAGCACATTCAAAAATCTCTCTCCATGATAAAGAAGAGACACAAGACAAGAATAGCCATAAGAAGTTGTTGATAAGTGAACCTCAAGGTAACATTCACCACACTTGTCATGTTGGAGTTGATGGGACAGCTTTTGGATTATTACAGGTAAATCCATTCTACAGAATTGTTCCTTTAGTTTAGAATACGCGCGTACTAAGCTATACTTAATCCTGAGAAAAATGTATCCACATTACTGGCAACAGACTTCGTACTGGTCGTAACAGTTTCGTCTTATAATTTTTGGATTTGGATTTCAACTTATTTCATTACTTTTCCAGTTCGGTAAAAATGAAGTATCAGTAAAGTCATCTACAACAGCTCACTGAATCTCTAATGCTATGGGTGTTTATTCATCAAAGATGTATATGAATTTAAGGATGATTTTCTAGTTTTTTTTTTTCAAAACGATTGTTCGCAGTGTTTTGCATTCAATTGCATTCAAAATGGAGATGTGTCTTAGTATTAGCAGCAGCATGATTTTCATAACAGGTACTTTGTAGTTGGCAGTCTTTCAGTTTTGAAGTCAATATTTGGTTTTCATGATGTTGCATGTATATCACTTTCGACACTTATATCTAAATTCCAGTTTTAGCTTTACGTGTTTAGCTTTTAGTTCCAGTATTTTTCTCAAATTTTCTTAGTCACTTCTGCAAATGTACGTTTTTTTACTGTCGGTTCATATATAGTTTTTGCGGCAAAAGTCATCATATTTAATTGTTTACGTAAATTTTAAGTTAATTCATTCAGGGAGCAGCTGGTTAGAATATAGAATGCAGATGAAAAAAAGTTCGGCAAGTATCTAGAGGCGTGAAACATTAGCCTTTAATAGAAGTGAGATTAGAAATGGCGTTTCTGAGTGCGCTCAATATATATATAACACTTAATCACAAAGGAATTATTAAAGCCATCCAAGCAATATATATGTATTTGTCAATATGTATGCAACTTTACAGTAAATGGAAATGAATACATTAAATAAACGAAGAAAAAAAAAAAAAAAAAGGAAGTTGCAACTTAAACACTTGCTAAGGAAATTATAAGTGCTTGTACACCAGAAAAATGCGTAGCATCATAGTATGAATATTCCCTCTATCACTACTCATTACTTCCAAACTGTGGATGAGAACAGGAAAATGAGAACATGACAAGTAAATCACTCAGTAGTAAGGAATGAAATTTCAAGAACGGAGAAATACTGTATCTAGTTCATATATCGAAAATAAACTACATATAAACAGTAACAAGCCTACGAGAACGTCTCAATTATCATCACTGATATTTTTGGTATGCAAATAATAATACAAACGCTGACAAGGTGGTAAATAAAGGAGAGATGACGTGGTGATGATGAATCTACAAAAAAGAAATGCAACGAATAGGAGAAACTGGGAAAAATATGCAAAGAGCCAAGCGATAATCCCGAAATTTAAACAATTTTATTTTAATAGTTTAATGTGAGCAGTTCTACTAGGTATTGTCTAAAAAATATCGAGAGAGTAAAGAATTTATATAAAAGCATTCTCACAGAATCCCACAACAGTTTGTTGAGGAACAGAACAGTTCTACCATACAAATTATTCTGCAAGCACAATTAACAATTGACTTTAATTGAAAAAGTTTATTAAACTGTCACGCCTCACAACACGAACCAAGGCTAACTGTCGCAAATGCACAAAAGTGAGAAATCAGCATAGGAGCTTGAAGATTCATGCTGACGGTCATTCTCCTCGTATGTTTTGGTTCACCAATTTCCATCCTTTTGAACCCTGACTGGTTTGCCTTTCATCTTGCTGAAATAATAAGGCTGAGATATTGAATTCACAGTATCCACTGACGATCAAATACCGAAGCTCTGTTACAAGCAGATGGTACGCTTTTTTTATACAGAAAGGAACTGAGCAACCAAACACATATATGTGTAGAACACATTGTACTGCATTGAAGAAATAATAATCATTTAAGCCATCATTAAAATTTGCAAAAACATAAAGATGTAGTAGTACATAGAGTTCACTATACTTTAATTGGTGACAAAACGGTTATCCTAATTGATTTCGCCATGAATCCATCAACTTGAGGACAAATGGTAAAAAGAACTTCGCTTTTCGGTACGCCACACAATTTTTTGTATATCGGAACGCTACAAATGCATTGTCGAATTGCATACATAAATAAACCTGCACTGCCACACAAAGTACACTTCAAGCCTAACGTGTAATCACAAAACGGTTTGCTAATAAAGGTATAAACATCAAAATAATGAAGAAGAGACACCGTTTTTACTTGCAAAAGTGTCTTAGTTGAGCAAATTTTTTAAATTAAGGCAAACAAATCACTACCTAGAAAAATATGCTATTTGGCAACTGGAAAATTCAACATACCGCTCTGGATAATCTAATAGCAAATTTCAAACAAGAAATCAAGACAATAAAATGTTTGATATAATACAGCAATAATAAATACCATCCATTCAAATAATTCATTGATAATTTGAAGCCAAGAAACTGTAATCAGTAAATACATAAAAACCCATCTTTCCGGATGCAGTAAGTTAAAACAGATAATGGTTATTGAAATGGTGACGATAAATTATATATAAAATAACATTGCGCATAGCATACAATATTATGAATTCCATCATGCAACATCAATGAAAAAGGAATGCATAACACATGAAAAGTTTCACATACACAGTGATAGCATGAATAACATAACACATGTTACATCTACAAATTAGAGCTTAACAGAGACATGAAAGAGAATGAAGCAAAATGAGTTGAGTGAAAAAAAAAAGGACAATTACCATTACTGCAAAACCTGATTAGTAATATCACTATAACTAATAGAAGACTGAAGTCTGTGAAAACTAACGCGACAGGAAATAAATTTAAGATTACAAACTAATTACTTGATGATGTCTCGTTTTACAATAATTTCTACGGGATTATTTGTAGCTTTTAATAAATCAACGATAGCACCAGGTGTATAACTATTTACTGATTGACCGTTGACTTTCCAAATTTTATCACCGATATGCAGTGTTCCATCAATATCCGCAGCGCTACCACTGCTGATCATTCGGATGTAAATTCCTAAAATATTTCATGCTAAACCAATGGAATATAGCAAAATATGATTCAGACATCTGGACTTTGATTCTCTTTCGAAGGACAAAATACAGTTGTGACATTCTATGAATGGAAAATAGTGATAGTTGTCAAATTTAATACAAATCTTATTCTAAAATTGAAAGAACATTAAAATAAATCTATAAAAAGAAAAGAAACAAATCCTTTATAAAAATACAATTTCTAAAACTGGACATATGAAAACTCTTTTCTGTTGAAAGAATGAAAACGATAGAAAATCGGCATCCATATTGATGACACATAAAAAAAATTAAAAACTAAGAATAATAAGTATCAAAATTGGTAACATACCATCAAAACCAGTCTTCTTTGCTAAGCTCAGACCAAGCGAACCCGTATGAGATTTCTCCAAAACAACTCGTACAGTCTGTTCGCCTTCATCACAAGCACGTACTTCTTTGTTTGAGTTTTGCAAGCCTATTATCACTCTTTCACCACTCTTTCTTAATAGATCTACCAACTGCTGATGCGTTAGGTTTTGCACCTTCTCATGATTTACCTGCAACAAAAACTCTAAAACACATGTATTATACAATAAAAATGTCCAACAAATGTTTTCTTTTTTTTTTTGTCACAATATATTTAAGTTGAAAAAAAAAGTAAACGAAATCCTAAACATCTCAAAAAAAGAAAAAAAGTTTAGAAAGAAAAAAAAAAAAACTTGAAGCTAACATCGAATTTGAAACAAACCAATATAATCCTATCTCCCACTTGAATATCAGGACATGAAAGTGCAGGTTCTGCAGTAATTTGCTTTACATACACAATACCTCCGCTAGATGCAATTTGAAAACCAAGGCTACCAGATTCATTACGCTCGAGAGTGATCATCGAAACATCGGAGGGAAGCGGTTCCACAATATCATCCAGGTCATCAGCCCAATCAAGATTTGGCTTCTTTCTAGAAGTACTGGAACTATATAAAATTATTTCCATTCGATAACTTCCTGTAAAGTACAAAAAAAAAAAAATTTTCGCAATACCTATAATCCTGCACTGATTTCCAGTCGTTGAATGAGCTTTTTTGTTGGTCACTATCACTCTTCCCTATTTTCACCCAATCATTTTCACTCGCTTTAAATGGAAAATATGGTATTGTACTACATCGTTTTGGAGAATGTTCTATCAGTTCATCATCAATACCTTCGAATTTGTACATGGATACTACCGGCACTTCATATCGCATTCTGCATTCAACCTCGTCATTCAACGAAGTCTCTGGTCGTAAATATCTGAAAATAATAACAATCATTAGCACTGATAATAAACTAACATATACCTAAGCAGTTACATTTAGAAAATTTTCAAATGACTTGTTGCTACCTCATTTTAAACAGTTCAAACTATATCTTTTAAAATCTTCTCTTACTACGAAGTGAGATGTAGCAGTTCATGATAGAGAAGCTAACTGGATTCTCCATATTAATGAAATTTAACTAGCTAAACATTTTTAGAATAAAAGTTTTTTTCTCCGACACCTACATTAAAAAAACGGCTCTATGAAAACCACCATCTTTGCTCCGAAAATAAAGCAGAAATTACCATTTCAATTTCCTTCTCTTATAAATTCCTTTTCTAATAACAATAAGAAAGATATGACAGAATTTTACCCTAATTTTGATTCATTTCTAAGGTTTGATAATAAATCTTCGCTATTTAAATCCGGTAAAGTGTCACCAACAGCGCCAAAGTCACTAACAGCTCTTATACGTTTCTTCAAGGTATTTGAATACTTTCTTGGCGGTGGTGGCGTTCTTGATCTCAGTTCTGCAAATCGCGAAATAGGTTATGGTGTCAAGAATATATATACTACAGAACCTTAGTCACCGAAATAGACCAACCTTCACTAACAGAGAGTGAATGATTTTTATACCCCTTCTGATCGTCAATCGCTGTCTTGTCTTTAATAATACCAGAAGCAAGTGCAGATGTTACCGCTTCTAACCTTAAAATATTGGATTTTATTTAAAAAATTGTAAGATAACTTCTAATTCACAAAACGAAATTATAACTTGGAAATTATGAAAAGCGTTACGAAAGCTTGTGATATTAAACTAGTTAGCAGAGTAAGTCATCAGAGAATGCGAAGATTTCTCAATCAGTACGGCTTAACAACAAACAGGTGTAAAACAGTGAAAAGAATAATGAATATTAGGTTAAAATTAAAGTTTTCTTGAAAAGAAAAGGATTAACAAATCTGAAGATTTTGTGCAAGTTATTGCTGCCATCATAGTCACCTGTAACCTCGAAAAAATACGAAGAACAAGAAATGACAGAGTATATCTACAAATTAATCTTATCGCACGGGAAACAGTAGAGAGGGGATAACTGCCATATTCAGCAAGCTCAAGCACCTGGTTCAAATGAAAGACCAAAACAAACGATATACCCTCATGTTGCCACGTAATACAATAGAAACTTATATTTCATGATTATGAGAAAAAAAAAAAAAAAAAACCTACCTAAAAATTTTCAAATGGACAAAATTGCCACATTTTCTCACTAAATCGACAGTTACATGTCTATCCCTACCAATAAGTGACACGTTATTGACACTTAGTAGTCGATCACCAACATTCACTCCCTAAATTTTCAAAAGTTAAATCAAAAACATAACACAATATCACATTAAAAAGAAAGATACGACATAGAAGTTTCGGAACATTAACTAACTCCTTTTTTTCCAACACCTCCTTCTGATACAGACTTCACATATACACCTTTTATACCATTCAGATTACCATCGACCAACGTTAAACCAAGCCCAGTATTTGGATCTTTTTCCAGCAAAATTTCCAAAATATATCCATCACCACTCTCAACGAATTCTTCAGGAGAAGTCTCTTCCGAAATTTCATCACCTACATGGATAAGATTTCACTCAAAAAGAAATTTTGAAGACCGCAAAGTTTCACACTAAATGAATAATAGTAATCAATGAGTAGCATAACAGGCATATAATACTGAGGGCATTTCAATACTTAAACACATTACTTATTGAACTCATCCTCGGTCTCAAATTGGAGCTATGTATAGTCTCTACATATTTCTTTGAGAAGGCATCGTTTGAGGAATATTGATTATTGGTTCGTGTAAAACCACGCTCCGGCATGTTTTTTATATCAGAAGAATTCATATAATACACCGGTGCTACCTACAACGATAAGATTAAATTGAGAATTATCATTTTCACACAGCTATGTAACAGTTCAAAATATTCTTAACCATATTTGATGATCCATATTATACATCCTATTCGACTGGTGTTGTTACAGTATGCTCACATTATATTACCTTATAAATTTTATAAATTAATATAAATTAATAAAAAATCCTAGTGAAGATGCACCACAGTAAAACACAGTACTTTAAACCAAAATATTATTTAACAAACGATAAGGTCATACTCTCGACAGAATTAAACTTGTCATGGAAAAAGCAAATCTGGATAACTGAATTCATCAATGAAGTGAATCATTTCATGGTTCTTTCATCTGTACTACAACATGGGTTTAGGATGATAAAAACTGTTTTCAGTATGCTCAATAATTTAGGAAGAACAATAGAACTAGAACCTCTTCCATAAAATTAGTGTCTGCGCCAACATCCGGCATTCTACGGAACTGAAAAGGACTATCACGTCTTAAAGTATGATTCCACTGCCGCATTTTTATCATAAAGCGATGCTGTGAAGCCGCAAAACGGACAAAATAGGCACTTCTGCAAAAAAATGCTGAACTACATGGATATGTAATACTGCACAGAATTAAAAAACAACAATACTACGAAGCAAAGCATTTTTCACAACCTAACAAAACATAAGTGCATGCTGTACAAAACCAACTTTCCACGCATACTTTGTATAATGATCGGTATAGAAGATATTGATAGACGGTTCATGGATTTCGGAGGCAATCACGAAGCGCTTTTTATCAAATTGTAAAGTTTGCGTATTTTGCCAAAGGTGTTCTATCTGAACATGCCGACCACCACTAAAAAGCAGTTTGAAATAATATAGGGAACTAGCAAAAATCATTCTGAATGCTTTCATTATTTCAAGACCAAAAAGTCAATGAAAACCTTTCTTCTTCGAAAAGTACAATACCACGTGTCATAATCCCAATCCATTGCGCCACTCCAGTTTCAGGATCACCAAGAGGTGTATTACCAAGATTTATTGATGGTTTGGATGCGAATACACGATGCAAATGAGCACCATAATCAAATAACCGTTGACATAACTAGCAAATACAACAACAAGAATTTATTGCTCAACAGGAAAGTCCGAAGAAATTATGTTTGGCCAAAAACATAACTTTTGGATGAATGCATAAATTTTTAAGAGAAACAAATCATTTATGCTACTGACACTGAATTAAAGCAGATTACATTTTTCAATACTAGCTTGCCGTTGACTTCCCATAGACAAGTAAAAAAACCTTGAATATTCTGTAAGGTTCATAATGTGCTGAAATATGAAACGAACGAATTCAACTATCTTATTTCACCATCATACAGCAGTTGATGAAGTTAGTGGTTAGCGAAGTGTAGAGAAATATCACAGAAATACTGATTCAAGCTTTACAATATATCCTAAACTATGCAATGCATCAGGAAATAAACACACGAAACTCACCAGAATAAAGCGCTTCTCAGCATCCTGTTGCTTCATTCCGCGGTGTTTTCCATGCCTCTCGACCACATTTTTGATTACCGCTTCTTCGTTGCAGTTATCCAAATATCTCTAAAGTGAAAACATACCATAACAAAATAGCTGGTGCATGAATACATGCCAATCTGAAGTCAACAGTCATTGAAAAAGCTTATTTTTTTGATCTCTCCTTCCCCTTCATTTAACCCTCCCTAACACATTCATTTCCGTCGTGGAAATTTGAAATAATTTATTATTATCGAACGATACAGACTTGTTTACAGAAATAGATTTAAAAGAGGTAGAGCTATGAATAAATGATAATTCGATAACAATTAAAGGTTCAAAAAGTTAGGGATAAAAGACTTTATAGGTCCTCAACATCGTTGTCCAAAAGTATCTCAACACAAATCGCGAAGATGAATAAATAAATATTACAGAGATACTAACAATAAAATATTAAGTTCTAAAAGAATTAAAGTATGACCTTCGGTATATAATGTCGCAGATCAAAATAGTCCAAAACTGTTACATTAGGTTGATCAGAGTATTCGCTTTGCAAAGCAAATGCAGCTAGATCATACAATAAATCACGTTTCGGTTGAATGCGATCATCCAAAATGTCTCGTCGCAATTGTAAGTATAATTCATGAAGTACAACTTCAGTTCTGAAACGGTCCACTCATTTTTTTTTTTTTTTTTTAAATGAGTAATCTGATATGGTAAGCTTTATTTCAAATATAGTAATCACATATCTCGAATGTAGCGACAGTTATAAAAAGTGCAGCAATAAAGAAACCCTATAAATGATAAAAAGTGAGGCAACACAGAAACGGAAAAGATTAAGAAACACATTCAGCATGATGGAAGAATTTCTTTCTTCGCATCACACCTTAAAATGGAATAACTTTTTATATTATGAAAACAAACCGCATAAAAGCGACTGATGCTGGATAATATCGAAAGCGTAGAAATAACATATAAAGCCTTCTGGATGATCCATATTGTCTTGCATTTTTCCACCCTGGTGGTGCGAATTTTTCCAGACGCTGATGACCATCCAAAAAGAAATGCTCGCCATCTACAGAGCTAACAGAAATTTGGTATGTAAGACAGTTTCACTCTTGAAGAGGTTGGTAAAATATTATATACATGGAGAATTACAATATTTCGGTTTTATGACAATATATCCTAAGCAACTTTTATGATAACAATAAATCATTCGGTCTATCGGTAATTCCCTTATAGGAGGACGCTTCATTATGACGCCAACTGCGAAATAAACACAAAATAAGTTAAACATACCTCTCAGTATAGTCAAACCAAAGAACGAGTTCTCACTGAAATTCATGTGCCTCATGACAACATCAGCAATTTCCGATGCAACAGCATCTGAACGACAGCTCACTTCAACATGTTTCCCACTAAGCAGCTCAACAGTTACGTCCGTATGTTCTATTCTGTGAAGCGTCACTTTTTTCTGCAAAAAAAAAAAAAAAAAAAAAACAAACATCGAACATTACGGATCATTTGTTAAACGAATACACCTGATTCAAGTAATACAATAATCTACTCCTCTCAAATATTTGCTGTAGGCTACTTCATCATAATGATAAAACTTTTCCGTCTCACACTCCTTATTTCATTACTTTACATTGAATGCTTCAGAACGAAAGTTTTCCTAAAACACAAAGCTTTTATAAGACATGCAATAGAGCAGTAATGTACACTGCAAATGTATAAGACTATATCTGCATAAAATAATAACTTTTCTTTGAGCAGGTGCCTTCAAACATATGGATGACGTATTTGCATTTCTTACAAACTCTGGTTCCGCTTTCAACTGAAATTAAAGACATAAAAATATGAACTTTCGCAAAAACTCGAAATCAATGCTTTAAAAAATGTTTCCGTCCAAAAAAGATCGGGGCAAAGTAGCACTATTATTAAACTATAATTCACAGTGAATTATTAGGACTTTCAGCAGTTTTGTACAGCATATCCTCCAATAGTGGGGCTACTGAAGAGCAAAATAACCAGGCACAGATTCCCTAGAAATGATATACGACGCTAGTTGATAAATTAGTCTTTTGATATTCTGTATTAAATAAACTGTCATTGGCGACATAATACAAATATCAAAAGAGGCCGTCTGGTTTAATTTGGTTAACCATGAATATATTAAATCAAGAATATAGTATGTTCTTACCCTTCGCTTAAAATGTTTCGATGAAGACTTCCGCCCACTTATCCTATTTGGCAAAAGCGAATTTCTTCTCATGAATTGCTGTTCTAAAAACAGTTCAGAAATACAAGAGTCAGCATTTTAAATATAGACCAGAACCTAATGTTTTAAGCTTTAGTCAATATTGCAATAAGGCTTCCTCATAACCATTTTCAACCATCACAATAAAATCTGAATATACATCACAATACCAGCAGCAGTATCCCAGAAAAAGGCAAATAAATTTGGAGGTACAATACAAGAAAAATCAAAGTATCACAAAAATATCAACACTTAACCGCAACAAGTTATAATACGATTAAATCAAAAAAATAATAAGAATAATCAACCAACCAGCTGCAACTGAGCCAACAGATGCTTCTTTTGTGACTACGATTCTCTTTACCCTAGATTCCAAAACTGGCGATAGCCGTTCTTTTCCATTTTCCAGTATTGGAGCCAATATTCCTTTTACTCTAGATTCCAAAACTGGCGATGTCCGTGCTTTTTCATTTTCCTGTATTGGAGCCAGTAAAGATGTCTTAGCCAAAAAATCCCTTTCTCAGAATATTTTATGAAAATAACTCACTTTTTTTGCTAAGACAACCACTGGCACGTCCTCATTTTTATTACCGGACAGTGACTCACAGATAGGTTCTCCGAGTAAATTTTGTTTATCAATACTCTAAACAGATAATAAAATGATTTCATGCATAACAGAAGAGCTAAGGATAAAAATGGCAGTGATATGGATTGGCTCGCTTTTATATTCGCGGGGAAGCTGTCAAGAAAACAAACAATCCTACGGCAAATTGAATCGATGGACGAAAAATTGTGAAACTACATCGAACATACATTTTGGCCGCCTGAAGAAAGAACTGTAGATCCAATCATTTTTTGACTTTCGTCAACCTAAAAAGGTATGCAGTGAGTGAATGTTAAATGAATGACACACCTCTCGTTACATTAAACTTCACAAATGAATGTAAGGATAAAAAAATGATAATATACCTAATTTGAGTTTCTTATCCAAGTTCCCTAATAATTGAGATGATAAAAAGTGTTGCTTTCTCACTAACCTCCGAAAACAAAGAGTCATTACATTCGTGAATGACATTAGTAGCAAGAAGGCCGTGACCATCATAATCCAAATTTTCGTCCACCTTAAATTAAACTCTTCTTAAAAGATATTAACATAATCTGGTTTAAAGCTTTTAAACAATATTAAAAAATTATGTAAATTCACTCTTGATAACAATGTCCTTGCTAACCCCTTACAATATAAATGTAAAAGAGCCATCCAATGTTCCAGTAAGTACATTACGTCACATAAAACTAAGGCTTGATAGTCTAATCATTTATCAAATGGTAACCAGTATCTCCATTAATGTTATCACACTAATAAAATCTAACCTTGTCAATATGTCCTTCAGGAAGTACTAGCGTGGAGCTCAGTTCATCAGAAGAAACATTTTCTTCTCTATATTCCACAATATCATCATCAAAATTGTAAGAAAGAGATTTCGTTAACAAACTGCTCTCAAATACTGGTTTTCCTTCCTCTTCTTCACTTTGTTCCAAAAGCACTTCAATTTTACCTACAGATAAGTTTTGTTGCTTCTCTTCTTGTAATGGACTGCTTCCCTGCAAAGGGGTATCATCGTATTTTTAAAGATAACAAAAAAACACTGTAATGTTGTATCCGCCCCATCAGTTAAACATACGGATTTTATATTCTAAAGAAAGTTGAGAATAGGTTGTGAATTTCCATTCATTATTTTCTCCATTTATTCATCTTGCACTGCTGCACCATTTCTACTTTAACTATCTAAACAAAAAAACCAGCAACACCAGGATACTACGAGGAAGTTGCTTCTGTGAGAGATCAGGTTTTCCCAAGGGAATTCGACTGAAAAAGACGGACCACCCATTTTTCGAATTAGAAACTGACATAGAATAAAGAAAGGAGTGTCAAACTTGGACGCAGAAGTAATTTATAAATCAGTCCTTCAGCAAAGCTTTACTAGATGGGATAAACAAATTCACACTTACAATTTTTGCTTCTGGCAATACTTTTTCATATGCGACTGTTACTGAATTAAATGGATTTCTCCCTGACAACTTCCAAATATCGGTTTCTACACCATCAAATGGATCTGCATGTGCCACTTTTCTAGACCGATCACAGGTGACACTCTAAAATAACATGGTCATAGTAATTCAAGGTTTCCCAAAAACCAAACAAAGAAAACTTTCATAAAACATAAACTATAATTTGAATGCTATGCATCAACATTCAAGAATCCATAAAAATTCCTATAATATGTATTTTTCATTTCCAGTTATAATCCAACATCTAAGGTTACGACACCATGGTTGTTCCAGTTTGGTCCCACTTTAAGTTCCTCAAACCACCATTTTCATCAAGAGAATTTGGCATGTATTCACCAGAAGAAATGTCCAACTGAAATAAAGAATATTCATCATAGCAAAAGAAAACACTAACACGCACAAGGTTTGCACTTTTTCCCCATGTGTAACTATCAGATATCAAAACCACATCCAACTGATCGCGATTAAAAACTTTTATATGCGCTATCTGGACAAATATTGCACTGAAACTTAAAGTAGACGTCACTTACATCATCGATATCCTCCGCTTCGTCACCCATAACCAAGATATACATTTCTGCCAGCAAAGCCTTTGGATTTTGAATTGTAAGCTTATTTTTAGCCATTTGTCCAAGCCTCCAAAAATTTAAAGAAATTAAGTTTTCCCTGTAAATATGAGGGACACAACCCGAATGTGTACCGAAAAGAAAGGAATATGGCAGGAATATATACAACCTGAAAGGTTACGTATAACAAAGTTTTCCAACATGGGGATTTTTTGTTTTTATGAAGGGAAAAAATAAAGCAATGAAGATTTGTTGCTTGATAATCAGAAATAATTTAAAATTCGAAAAAACGAAAATGTAATTATTTTATAAGGGAAATAAGTTATACATTCTTTCAATCGTTCTGAACTCTCCAGAAAATACGCCATCTCTAGGATAAAAAAATTGCAAATAATGTTCCAGTAAAAACATGGAAATGACAATAGCTTACAGTCGTAGAAAGTAAGTTTAGAGTACCGCAAGGATTAGTGAAACAGTAAACAAACCGAGTGACGGATGGCCGTGTAGCAATATGATCCACCGTCATTACGTTTAACAAGGAAAACAAATCTGCATTGTCTGATTCAGCACCACCAGCAAATCGAATAACTTCTCCGAGACAGTATACATGCACAGCACCTAAACAATGGCAGAGATTAGCATTAAAAAGCGAACAAAAAAATGACCAAATGAATAGTTGACTGGTATATTTCTTAGAAAACCAACCACTTGTGCTGTATTGGAATAAATAATTGGGATGTTTCTGCAAAGATTTAGTACATTCTCAGCATTTATGAAACTGCAAATCATACAGAAAAAAATTCCGGATTTTTCAGCTGCATTCTAGACAACTTATGTTGAAGTTTGCCAGTTAATGTAAATGATAAGGAACAAGAATCTTTCTCACAGATAATTAGACGAAAAAGATTTAATAATAACGTCAAATGATTATTATTCAATAAAGACTGGTAGAGATATATTGAAATCTAAAAGAGCTCAAGTCTATACTTTTTATCAAACTCTTCCTTTAGCAAGGAATTTTTGTAACTCAGTAAGGTCTGAAAAAAAAATATATAAACGTATATAAATATATAAAATTAATACCAGAATCAACATCAGTATTGCCTTCTTTCATTTCAGGAGGCACATATTTGTTGCTTACTTTATCTCTCGAGACGGATTTTATCTGAGAAAACACCAAAGAATTATTAAACAACGTGAAATTGTCTATAATGTTTAAATATAACATTATATCATTTCATTATAAAAGATGGTTTTTAAAGCCTTCTAGAATAATTTTTGCATACTTTTCGAAGAACATGGAATTAATGAATAGACCAAATGCAAACCTCAAGTTCACCATCAGTGTGTAAAATGACGTGCTCGGGGGAGAATACCCCTGCAGGTGTCTTAGTAAGCACTTCACAGCCAATGATAATTAATGCAAGCAATTCATCATCGTTTAGGCCACAACCACGCACCTCGACTATTTCTGACAATGATACACCTATGTCATCCATTAAATTTCTGCAAAAACACTCTATGAGTGCTATTTTTAAGAATCCTCTCGCGGATTTTACAGATATTTATGGACTTTCCGAGTCCTTTCATGGATTAATTCCCCTCCATCAAATGAAGGTCGTATTTCGGCCTCATTTTAACCCCTTTTGTAAGAATGTACACGATCTTTGACCACTAGACAGATTTTTCCTGAATTTAGAGAGAGGGAAAGAGGATGAGGGGAAGGGAGCAGGTGTCGCTTCATAATTCAGCCTTCTTTATATATTTATGAAATCTTGAATACTTTTTGTCCTGATCCTTATTTGAAAAAGATTTAATTACAATGGCTTTACAACAGCATATGAGAGTGCCACTCATGGATTAACAACCTTTTATCAGATCTTCTCTTAATAATAATATGAAGTAATGATGATGTGACCAATTAGTTGATAACATGACAGAAATAATTTGTTACTGATCGAAGTAACCCCGGGAAAACAATTAACATTGTCATACATATAGGGAATGTTTGAAACAAGTAATTACTTTCCAAACTTACGTTAGATTATTTAAATCGCTGGTCTCAGTCGGTGCAACCTCGTGAAAAATTAATAAAGTTGTTAAAAATTTAACAATAATTGCACGCAATGGACGGTGGAAGTGACGTTTCATGTGGTCAACACGTAATGCATCATTTTTGCAGGAGAGTTAAAGTATAAAACTGAAGCGGACTGCGTGAAAATGAGAATTTTAGATCCGATATGCTGCCTACAGAGAGAACCGGAAATATCCACCAAAACACAACACGGACATAATGATGTCCCCTCCCCCTCCTCCTTTCCCCTCATCGAGCCAAAAACGCTAACGCAATGGTAACAGCAATCAACCACTCATCGTACAGTCCTTTCGAATTGTTGTTCCGTTGTGAAAATGCAAAGTTTCCCCGTTTTGCTCATTGACAAAGAAAACAGAATTTATAAGTGTCACTCTTCTTCCCCTTGACTGTCACTTTTTCAGGTGAACGCAATTAGTTGACCCGAACTATTGGATCAGTCAGCATTTCATTGGATTACTGCCAAACGACCCTTCCCGCTGATTAAAAGACTGCCTGACTCTCCCGCTGCAATCTATCCACTTTCATTCTCAACTTATAATTGTAACTTTGGTCGTTGCCTTCTTTTATAATACCATCAAAGGTCCCACGACTTCACATGCAAACAAACAAGCAGAAAGAGCAACATATACAGTCAGATCTGTCGCAGGAGGAGTTGCACATCAATTAAAAGACATAAAATACATAGTTTCCATACTTTACCTTGCAAAAATCTTGTCTTTCTATTATTCTGGAGTATAAAAGTCAAACAATGTAGTACCGTAAAGGTTTTATTCATAATGAAAAATGCATCACTCATAATAAAAAAAATGTTTATTGCAGCATAAAAATAATAATAGAAGAAATGAACGAATTAAGCAAACATTGCATTCGTGCTAGCAACCGCATCCAACAATTTCTCGTCTACCACTGCGCCATTCTGAAAGAAATAGAGATTCAGAGTGGAAGCACCAAAGCAAAACTTTGACCAGACTTCAAAACAAAGCAATATAAAAAGTAAAAATGGTTTAGTTATGGCAAGACGAGAAGAGACATATGTTCTGGAAGTTCCAACAAGCTGAAATATTTCAAGAGAGTAAGAATTGTGAATGACACGGTAACAAAGGATTAAATAGAAGATGGAGCTACTCAATTTTCAGGGTTTATCAATTTTTCTTTTTAATGTATCAGGATGAATTTTACTAATTAAAATGATGTAAACCCTTTTTAAGTAGTTTAAAAAACAAACCGCACCATGCGTCAATGCTAATTCGTGATTATAATACAATAATGATGCGTTGAGTTAATGAGAACCCGTCGTTATCAATGCTTAGGAAAATTTCCAACCCATGTATGCTCACAAAAAAAAAAAAGAAAAAAAAAGCTGGATGCAAAAACTATTACTTACAGGATGATATTGCACTTTTTGGTTCGGAAAAGTATTGTTGAAGTCAGCAGACACTGCCGGTATTTGCCTATTCCACATCTCATTCTCCATTTTCTCCGGTGAGCACACTGCCCGAATTCCTTGTTGGTACATACCATAGCTGAAAAAGAAAAAACAAACAAAACAAAACAAAAAAAAAAGACAAGTACATTGACCAGAAATTAGCAATCAACTTACTGTATAATGACTTGGTTTGGCACATAAACTTGTGTCAAGAACGTTATTTCAATGGGTTTACGACTTACTCTCTGGGTTGTGGTGTTACATTTCCATTGTTGGGGGCGAAGCTGGAAGGAAAGTATGATGATGCTGCACCATTTATATGGGAATAACCTTGTGAGGGAGGATAGGTACTAGAAGGATAAGCACAACACATAAAACTGCACTGTGAGTACTGCATGTTGCAAGCGGATGGATTAAGAGATGGCCTTAAGGGTTGAGACATTGGCATGTTTGGCCCAGAAACTTGCGGTAATGAGACCATCATCGGAGTGTTTATGGAAATATTGGAGACTGAGGACGGCGGCTCTGTTGGTTGTAGTGGTTGTGGATATATGGATCGTCGACATGCGCCTTGCATCACTATTCCATTCTGATTAGCAAACGTGCATGGATAAGGAACCGGAACTGATGATTGAGAGGAACAAGGCGGTAACAGAGGAGGCATATGGCTCCGGGTCATTTTAATTGCTTCGTGTTCATGCATCATCCGATCCCACTCTGTTTTAGCTTTATCATACATTATTTGTTGTTCAAGTGTCCGCATTTTTTCCAGCTTTGCATTACGATCTTGTTCCCTGAAATGTCGGTTATGGAACCACATAAAGCTTTCATCAAGTGTGCTGATGCGATAGTATTATGACTGTATACTATCAGCTATAGCAGTATGTCAGTTAAAAAATCTTTCTATTAAAAAATGTGCAAAAAGCATGTCTAACCAATCATCAATAAATGTAAGTAGAAAAAAAAAAAAAACTATTTCAGTTCAGATTTACAGTATGCTGATAAAAGAAACCTCCTTGCAGGCTGATTGTTGTCAGCAGACGTACGGCACAATTTTGAAGGAGGCTCAAACAGTGAATCCTGCGTCATACGTTCCATTCTTCTATAAACACGAACATGTTCAATATATACATTAAGCCATCACAAAAAAATTGAATAAAAAGTATTACAGAGACTTATGAAACAAAAGATTTTAGCAACAACATGAGCTGGGAAATTATTAATTAACACCTTAATGGATTATCGCCAATATCAGTGTGATCATCAGGATTGAGCAATTCACAAGAAGGTGTTTCAGAAGGATTACTTGGTGGGTTACCGCTTGACTCTCCGCTTGTCTGCGAAGGCGTTGGAAGCATAGTACTTGATGGACTGCATACGGAAGGTGTACCACATGATCTCATCGGTGATCCATTTCGATAGTCTTGCTGAAATTTGGGGATTAAAACCTGAAAAACACTATTTTGCTTCATTTAAATATATACATTCATCCCATCATCAGAAAAGTTCAGGTTTTCAAGTCTGTAGTCACAATGTTGTTCTTAGGCTTTATTATAATAGTCCATTTAAAACTCTAAACACCATATATAGGTCCCTAATTCAAAATATTAATATTTCATAGAGCTAATTATAGCAATTTCAAAACAGAAAAAAAAGATCATACGAAGATACACAAATTAAAGAACCAACCACACTACGTCGTTTTTTCTTCGATGTAGGCACTGTCTGGCAATCATCTATGAAATCACATTTAGATGTGCTTGGCCGGCAATTTGCTTCATGCCAAGCAATAATCGACTCATATTTTTTTTGACGCACGCCAATTGCTGCGTCATTTGCCATCTTTGATGAAAATACATACACACGCCTTATGAGCTGAAAAAAGGCATTTTTTATACTGCAAAAGAATAGTGTGCAATACTGCTACACTGTCGATGGTACCCAAAATGAAAGTGAATATGACTGTGCAGGTGCAATGTAAGCAAACTAAAAAAAGCTAAACAACAAAACACATTTACTAGAGCAGTACACAAATGGAAATTTTCTCACCGAAGAACCATTTCCAGTATGCCATCAAATTGCTCCCCCTCCTACATATCAGCTTCACCCAGTGACAAAACCAAAATTTACTTTTTGCTGTCGGAAAGGTAATTCGCACTTGGCTGAACATGGTGACTTGATAGAGTCTACAGTAGGAACCTGAATATCTTCGCCGCTATGAGTATGACGACCTCCAAATCCAGGCCACGAATTCGCTGATGGATAACTCGGTGATGGTGTTGAGGTTTGCTTCAGCGTAACCGATGAAGCCGATGTCGGCTTCTTGATCTTATGTAAACCAATACACTCTTCACCCAGATCGGTAGTTGTATCAGCTTTAGTTTTGCAGTGTCCAAATGTCGCGAAATCGTGGTTGCGATACTGAAGACCACGTGCAACACTTCCGTTATCCAGTGACATTTCAAACACCTGTGAATCAACATAATATTTTAGTTACATAAAATTTATTCAAATTTCCGAAGATTCAAAAGTTTTCGATAGCACAATAACAACACCTAGTGCTGAGAGCGGCTTTTTTTTTCTTTTCGAAAGTTTCTATACAAACACACAATGAGGCAGTGGATTAAAGTAATTGTAGAAATTTGTTCACTGCTATTACAGTAACACTTCATGAAAAACTGTGAGACAAACTTATCTTTCTCATCTCTTTCCTCTCACTTCGTCTCACTAATCTGATGTCAACATGAAAAAGTTTTGTCCAAGAGTACTTCTCAGCTAACTATACAATAGTGCATTTTCACACAACCACATCTACTTACAACGTTTGTGATCGGTTAATATCACAAGAAAGCTGGACACCAACGCAAAATCAATAAAAAATGATAAGGAACAGAAACACAGAGAAAAGATGCTATTGATGAGTGAGCGAATGACTAACTGAAGACAAGAATTTATAATCAATTGTCACGAAGTTGATTTGCATAAATTACGAATAATAAGCTATGTAATATTCGCGAAACACAAAGTGAAACTACATAATTCCATTTTTAAAATGATTTTAATGGGACTTGAATTAGAACTTAAACTAATTAGCCGAAACCATAGTCACCGGAAACTTATCCCTTCCTTCCTTCCTCTCCCCCATACCACTTGACTATCACCACCCTGGCAAGAACAAAAAACCATTTCCGCACACTTACTGTAAGTTACAAACAGACGAGGAACACAATGCAAATGCCGCGTCCCTTCCTACTTTTCTATATCAGCCGCTGTGACCAATTTTACATAAGCTGTTAGAGCAGGACTTTTCTACCTTTTCAAAAATAGTAACAACTGGAACTAAAAACAACGGCAGACAACAAAACGACAAACAGAAACAACAACGGAATAAGCAGCAAAGGACAAACACCAAAGTTACTTCACTTAGCAAAATTCCTCTAGTGAATTAGGTGTACTATTTAAATTTTGGCTGCACTTTTTTGAGCATTAAAACACAAAAGACAATAGAGCTGTTGACGCGATTCATTACTCCCAGATAACTGGAAAACAGAAACTTCAGACAACTTACCTACTGAGTATGAGCATGAGTCTTCCAACTCAAACTGAGAAAGGGAAGACTGTTTTCTAAGTCAAGCACTGACGACCCACATGAAATGACAGTAATTAACATTGGCATTCCGATAAGATGAGAGACGAAACAGAGAGAAAGTTGAGCCACTTAAAGCATATTCATGAATATTTCGCCGGATATCCCATCACTGCTGCTGTTAGACCAGCAAGAAAATTTCCCAGCGGAATCCACTACTTTTTTCGAATTTCAGCCCTCCCGAAAAAAGCTCCGTACTTCAAGGATGTTGCATAACGCAGCCACGTATCTATAGTTGAAGGAATCTGAACGCGGTTCTGCAGTTTATCATTGTGAAGCGATGGGAGCTGTGGGAGTGCTTGTAATCATAACTAGAGTGGGGGAGGGGGAGAGGTTATGAGGTCACCAAATGTCCAGCTTTGTCAGATTCGACGAGAACTTGCTGTATAACTAACTTCCTTCTTACTTTCTGCTGCTGCAAAGATGATAACGATTGTAGTTTGACTGAAAACTTCTCATGCAGTCTGCATCTGGATCTGAACCGAATTTAGTCGATCTCCTAACATCATGTAAAATTGGGATGCTTATTTTAGGTCTGGAGATTTTGTCGGGTAAACCTTATTAGGAAGCAGTCATCAAAAATAAGGGAACTAATTCCATCTTGTAATGTATCATACTTGTATTTCTTTTTGTCAAATTATTTGAAAATAACATTCGTTGACTTAAAAATTGCCGTTGTATATAATTTCTATCTAGATTAACGTTAATGTAATGACATCACAGGATTTTCGTAATTATCTATTTGATACGCACAGTACCAGAGACTTCTATGAAATACGTTTTCATCAGCATTAAAACCTGGTGATTATTATTGTTGGTGTTTATGCCACTGTTTACATATCATACAAGTTTTGACTCCTTATTCTGTTTGTATCTCCTACCAGTCATGCAGTCTTTCGAAGTGAATATTTAGATCATCCGCTGATTGAAAAAGTATTTGATCGACGCGGAACATATCGTATAAAATACATAATACGGAAGATATAAAACGGCAGCATGAGTCAAGTTCGAGCAGTTTATGAATTTGAAGCGCAACCAAACTCTGGAGAATTGTCCATTTCAGTAAATGAAATTCTTACAGTTGTCAGAGAAGTATGTCTTTTCGTCTTCTATTGTTCAAAAGAAAAAAGAAAAGTTTTTTGTCCTATTTGTAAACTTTGTAGGATTAAATTGATGTCGCAAATTCCCCGTAAGTTTAACCAGGTGGATCATGTTTCTTCACTGTCGTTAACTACAGCTAGAAGCATAGCTGTAGAGAATATATGAAAAAAATTTTTGTAAAAAGGACTGGTGTGTTATGGGAAAAAAAGAATTGATCAAAGAAGTATGATTGTTACGGATTCCATGAGTTTTTCTTTCTGTAAAAGTTTCTAATACTCAAAAAAAATTTTTTTTCATCCAGTTCTTTTTTAACTTCTTCAAGAAATGTTTAGGGTATCCAAGGGGGATGGCTAGAAGGTCGCAATGCAAAAGGACAACATGGGCTTTTCCCGGAATCCTACGTTGTGAAAGTCAGTACTTCACCAAGTCTTCCAAAAGTGAATTTTTCCTGCTTTCTAACTTTCATATGCTTTTGCGTAATTTCAATATGTATTGGAATCTCGTTCATGACCTCATATGCACTAGTGTTCGGTAGTTAGCTGTGGAACTGCATCTTTTTTCACAGCTTTACTTTTGACGATATGTTGTATAAGTGTTTCAAGACAAATCAAAACATTCCGTCTTTTCAAGGTATTATAGGATCTCAGTGATGTAGCATTGTCACTATTTTCTGAAAAAAATTGTGGTTGTGGTTTCTTCTGACACTAACTAAAGTGAACAATTTGTTTGAATAGTTGTTTGGATTTTAACGATTATATCTATTTATACTTTTTGCAGCCCCTTTCCCTATTAGTGCAGTTCGATTTTGCAGGGTAGATGATGTCTTTAACGTTAGTTCAGCTTAATGTGTATATTATTCATTTTCCACACGTAGTTTCCTATGTATTTGAACCTGTTATTCTCGAATAATTAATCAGCTGGATGAACGTAAAATATACTCATCCGTCCTTTTTGCTCAGGATTCTTTGCTGTTCGAACTATGCCCGTGATATTCTTTAAACTTTTTGATTCTTCTGATGTATTTTAAGGCCGTTGCTATACAACATCAAAATACTCCAGCTTTTGCTGTTAACGATCGTTGGGATGCACCCCCTTCATCTGCTCAATATCCACAGCTGATCATTCCGTCAAATGAACAGGTCTCTCTTTGTCTTTTTATTTTATATAACTGTAGTATTGGACCGTGCAATTTGAAATTTGGATGCTTCCATGGTTTTTCAGCTATTCAAAATCATTATTCATATAATAGACCTGGTTTACATCTTAGCATGATCGTTAGACCTGCTGTTTCAGCAAGTTATGCCATGTCCATGATATTGGCTTCCATCTTTTTTTCTAATTAATTATCGGTTTATTGAAGAAAGTCTGATGAACTGAATACGATAATTAGTTTTAGCCAGTGCATGATGTAGTGGCACCTCCGACCTTTGTACCAGCTTCCCATGACGATGACGATTTTGATGACTGGACTGATGATGACGAAGATTTATCGGTACGTTATGGTTTTAATTTCGTTTCATATTTTCGATATTCTGAATACGGGATGAAATCTGAATGCTGCTTTATGATTTATGTTTAAGATTGTTGTTGCGTTTGAATTTTAGTACATATGACTCATGTCTTATGGACCGTTACTGATACCGATTTTTGCAAAGCTATATCTTATTCACTTTGAGTGGAATTCGTGTCATTGAGCTTTCTTACAGATGAATTTACTGCTCTCTTTATAATAATGTCCATGTATTTCTTGACTTTTTTCCCAATAGTTTGTTAATTTGGTTCATGATTTCTTGACTAATTAAGGTGAACGTTGCTGCAAAAAATTATCTGTAACAGTCATTATTTTTTTACTTACAAATTTTTCTGAGATTAGTGAAAACTTACTGTTGTGACTTCATTTTGGTTGGAACTTAGAATATCAGGTTTAAATTCGTAGTTTGAAGTTTCGAACTGTATTCAAGTATGAAATATGAGTTACAACCAAATATTTTTCTGTAAAACGAAAGTTTCGGTTTTTTTTTTTTTTTTTGGTAAAATATTACACTTTTAGTTTTACAGACCAGAGTTCAGTTCTCTTCCCATGTTCATTGTTAAGGTCTTATTTTTTCTTACAGGAAGTTTGTAAGCATTCCATTTGTTTTTTAAAGATAAGTAATGGTAAACGAAGAATCAAAATTCGTGAGTGATGTCTTTTTATACATTTAGGAAACTGTATTAAATACGGCTGATAATCATGAAATACAAAATTACATATCCAGTAATCGAACTACTAAAAATGATGCATTGGTTAAGCAAGGAACAGTTAGAGTAAAGAATATAAATCGGTAAATCACGTTTCCACATATTTTTCATTGTCTTGTTTCCTCATCAGAAATTAAGAAATATTTTGATTTGGCAAGTTTTCTTGCTAGTGATATACTTGTTTTGTTTAAAGATGTAATATCTTGACTAATTTTTAGATTTTCCAATTTTGTTAAGTCAGGCATGGAGGATTACATTCTGCTTACTTCAAGACTCACATCAAAAACGGAGGAGCACCATGAAATAATTGTAAGTTTATTATTATATTTGCTGGGGAATGTTGAACATTAAAATTCTCGTTATTAAGTACAGTCTGGAATTTGCTGTTGATGTAATGTGATACTCAATTTCTAGCTGACAGCAGACGGAGCGGAATGGATTCCAGTTGCTCAGCCTTATTATTGCATCGTTGATAAACCGAAGAAAGAATCTAAACTCAAAGGCTTGAAAAGTTTCATTGCATATAGCGTTAAATCCTCCCTCAGCGGCATACAGGTTATTTTCCCACTTTTTTTTTAAAAAAATTTGGTTCATTCACTTCTTTTGCTGTAAACGGATTCTATCCTTTTATTATTTACTGACTCCCCAGTGCTGGGTATTTTATCGTGATTGATGCTGAGTTTTCTAATGTGTACACACAGTGGGCTAAAATACGATGTATTCGTGGTATTGTATCACTTAGCACTCGACGACGATAACAGCAACTTTCATAGAAAATTATAACAAAAACAATTTGCACTGTTACTGTAGGTGTCACGCCGATACAAACATTTCGATTGGCTTTATGAGCGGATGTCAGCTAAATACATTTTAATACCACTTCCACCACTGCCGGAAAAACAAGTTGCTGGTATGATTATATTAAATGAATGCTAGATGATTTTGCATTATATTATGCATATGCATATTTAAAGAGAATGGTTATTAGGGACGATAATAAGTTTTTATTCAGGCCGCTATGAAGAAGATTTTATTGAACATCGAAAAAGTATTCTACAAATTTGGGTTAATAAGGTATGCAGGCATCCTGTTCTCAGTAAATCAGACGTGTGGATACATTTCGTAACGTGTACAGATGAAAAAAAGTGGAAAAATGGTAAAAGAAAAGCCGAAAAAGATGAATACGTTGGAGGAAATTTTCTTTATTCGATTAGCGTTCCAAGTCAGCCACTCGATAGCAGTGATGTGTATGTTTTTTCATATTTTTTAATCAAAAAACGATAATTTAGTTCAGTGATCTTTATCTTAAAATCAACTTAGAAATTTTCTGCTTCTGAAAGATTTACTAATTATGCAATATACCTCTTTAACGCAGTTTTAGTGGGGATTCGTGAGTCTGTCCACCAGCTATTATCATGTATTACAAAGTATACTGCCGCTATGATATCATAATTGTATTTATACTGTTTCTCAGTGTATACTTCAATTTTTACTCTACTTTAAGTGAACAGAAAGTGGATACTTTTACTCGTTCGATGCGGAGTTTCGAAGAAAGTGTTCACTTCATGTATAACCGAGTCAGCGAAACTCACAAAAGGCTTGCAGGACGTAAATTTCGCATATTTATTGGCACTAGAACCATTATTTTTAATATGTAAAGTATATTATGCTTTATGTTTCTGGTGGTAATTTTGTAGCATACAAAACAAATTGGCACAAAATGGGAGAAGCGTGTACTGGTCTATGTCGATCATTCGATGTCAACCCATCATCAAGTTAGCTTTAATTTTCATACTGAATAACTTTTGCACCATCTAAGGGCTCATAGGCTTAGCAAAATTATCCGATATTGTTTTCAGTTCTGACAGTAACGATTTTTTTATAACTAATATGACTTTTCAATTTGATTGCATGTTTGTGTAGTCCGGATATTTTCCTTCTGACATTATGATACGCTTGCAAGTTAACTCACAAGGTTACATTAGAAATAATGTGAAACATAGTAGGTATTGTAACCGTTTTGCAAAATGACTGTAGTTGTCGTCCGAGCGAAATTTCTGTTTAATAAGATTCTTCCAGAAAATGAGAAAGTTACAAGTGCTTTGAAAGAAACAGCGAAAGCTCTACACTGGATCGGTGATGAACATGAGAAATTAGCTAAAAAATCATTAGATCCTCTACTGGATGCATTATATTCCTACAAAGGCTTGCTTGCCTGCATACCAGATATCGTTAATGTTCACAGAGTAAGTAAATGTAAAGTTTATTAAATATTAAAGGGTCCTAAGGGCTAAAACAGAACGATAGTAGCGTTAACACACTTTGCCAATCTATTCTGACTAGTTAAAAGTGCTGCTTTTCATGAAGCACATATAGTTAATAGCGTTTTGGTATTAGCTTTGTAAAACAGTTTAATTCCTTTATTTACATTGAAATTGCTACTTTGTTGGTTATCACTTCCGATAGAATTCAGTCTCTGTCTTCCTCTGCAAAAGAATTGTAATGATGACTTCATTTTTTTTTTTTATAATGATTTGTACAGTCAGCGATATCCAAACTGCGTGAAAATGAAAAGCTTGCGATAGAAGGTCGCGTTTCAAGTGTAGATATGGAAAAAGTGAAGGAGAAAGTTGATTCTATCAGTTACATGATGCTTGCTGAAATAGCATTTCAAAATCGTGAACTCGGCGAAGATTTCAAGAACATGATGGCGACCTATTTGGAAACCCAGGGAGAATTCTACATGAATATTGGTAGTCAGCTAAATAGTCTTGCTCAGAAGTTCAAATAAGTGTAAGTGTATGTGTAAAAGGTGTAATGTTTCTTTGTGCTCAAACTTTTCGGCGACTATTTCTTTTTTCCTGTGAGTTACTGCAAATCATTCCCTTGTAACTCATTTATTGCTCGTAGAGCTTAAACAAAATATTTGATGAAACTGCGTTTTAGGGCCCTAATCGCTGTTATCTTCATTTAATGAAGAATGGTTTCAGTATCACACCATATTACATTTCTTTCCGCTTCCACAGCGATGGTAGCGTTATTGATCAGAGTTCAGAAAAAAACTAAAGCATATAAGCCAGCAGTTATGATTTTATACAACTGAAAAAATTTTTATTGTATCTTTTCCCTTGAAACCGTTCAAATCATATCTCTTCGCCTGCAACAGCGTCATTAAGACTCGTGCGGAATCTGTTTTCTAATGACTCAGTTACGTAAAATTTTTGTTTATGCCTTTTAAAACGTGTTATATTCCGGGTATTATGTCGTTTATTTTTGTAGCTTTTTTTTTAAATGAATTTTGTTAGAATGTTTCCCCTCGTTCCTTTGAATGCCAACATTAATCTTATGATAGCTTAAATTCCCTTAAAATTTATTGTTTTAACGTATACATTTGTAAATTTAGGGTGCTCGGTTTCCACAGAGATGTCTTTTCATATCCCTTTCATCCTATCCAAATCATCAAAGGCTTTGATTTCGACATAGACCATATTACTGCTCCAATCATTATATTTCAAAAAGAGGTTTGCATCCAGCACACGATAGTTAATCATATGCTGAATAGTTCCTGTTTCGAGACCACAAACTCGTATTAGGCTTTATAAAAAAATTTTTTTTTTCAGATGGTTAATGGGGGTTACATTTTTCGGTTTTATTGCGTTACCGCATGGAAGTGATTTTGTACCGTAGACTGCTATTTTCTAATAGATGTAATTGTTGGTGAGAGTTTGCGAACGAAAAAATCAAAACTTTATTCTACGTCTTGCGTACTACGTAACCTCCTTTATAAACAGTGTGTTAGATTCCAACGATGTTCACAAAACCATCTAATCACATACACTTCAATCCTTTTCCATATCACAGAAATGAATTGATGTTAAGCTGGAATTTATGTGCAATGTATGGCTCATTAATCGTTTAAGTCACAATGAATTTTTGTGAATCATCGAAATGTGCGGATATAATTTTTGACTAAATTTAGGGAAGATGGTGCAGTACAATGATTGAATGAGCGATAGTGACTTAGGAAAAAATATCGAGATTTCCGGACCGTTGGGTCTGTGAAACATATAACGAGTCTCATCCTTGTTTACTTCCGAAATCAACCAAATTTTGGTGGCTTGCAAGCGTGAAAACTGACAGACAGATGAACAGACGTTGTTTTTAAACGAATTAAATTGTAAGTTTTGAATTCTTAATGTGGGCAAGAAGCAAAACTTACATGAACCTCTTTTTATGGGGAAGTGAATACTTATGGAGGTGAATAATTTTGTCAGCACAATAAACTGCGACTAACAGTCCTTGATAAGCAGTGACAGCTGTTAGATTTTTAGAAGTAAGAGCTACATCCTGAAATACCTCAAAGGTACGTGCTTCTAAAAGACGAATTTTCGACTGTCTAATGTCATGAATGAAGAGTTGGTTTTCGTTGTCAATGCACAGTGCTCCAGGTTTTTCCACGGCAGCAATTATGTTTCGGTCGCATATAGTAGATTCCCGAATACTCAGCAGCCAAATATAACCTCGTTTTTGTTCTACGACCAGAAGTTCTGTTATCACATCAATGACCGCCAACACCTGCAATCTCTTCTGCTTATCACACACGGATGCTGTAGAAAGACAAGTTTCAGATTTTTGTAATCGTTGCGAAACGCAAGGTTTGAAATAAATAAACGATTAAAATTCACCAGATTTTGATAGTTTTGAAATTAAAATACTAAACACTCACTTGTATGTTAGAGAACTTTGTACTCCGTTTATGGCAAAGTTCGGTCCATTGACCATCGGTTGTGAGTTCATACAGAGCCGAAAATGTTTCTCCAGTAACGCATAAATATATGTAACCATTTAATGCCATGCACAAATGTTCCTTAGTAATCGTTTCATTCTCTATCCATTTTGGTCCTTCAATCCTCGAAATGAATTCTAGTTTTTCGTCAAATCTCATTAAATTACGCTTCCATACCGCTTTGTTTCCACTTTTATCTTTTACCATCGCGGAAACCTACAATTCTAACAACCATTCGTCCTTGAAACTTTCTTGAACTTTATCAACAATAGAGGTAATCCATGAAACAAGCTTAAGAAATAACATAGTAACTGATATGTTATCATACTATACCACTAATTACCGGAATTGCCAGAACTAAAAAATGTTTATAACAAACTAATTAAATCTCAATCCGAATTAAGGAGCAAATAACTGAAGTTTGGAAGAGACTGCAAAAAAGGCAAAATTCTTCCAACAATATCACACCGACCATTATTTATCCGACAAACCACTACTACGACGGAGATTAGGAACTGGAAAAGGCTATCTATGGGAAGACAAAAAACAGTTTCCGAGCACTGTTTACGACAAACTCTATCAAATTTTGAAGAAATTTACCAAGATTTTATTATCTAGAGTGTAAATAGCGGACTGGGGCCATTTCCACTCTGAACTAGAAACTTTTTTGATGAGTCCAAATTGTGTAGAGAAAAGCAGTAAACCGTTATCATGATCTGTAACAACGATTTTATCGGTGCTCTGAAGAAAGGTGACACTGTTCGGTTGTGATAGGTTGTTGTTGATAATATGTGAACTATCCACTCTTTGCCATTGCGTCCTTTAAAACACTGAATAAAAAAAAAACTAACTAACTAATGAACTAATTCAAAATTACGTAAAGAATTGAAATGAGTGTAATATCTCACCACATTTTCCGGAGAAAAATGCGACACTTTTCTGACTTTCAGATTCCTATAAGGTGAAGTCGACTTAGAAATAATACAAAGCTTACCGAGATTGGTTTCCTTCTACCTCACTGTTCTGGGACATTCCATTTCCTTTATTATGTTCAGTCAGGCGCTGTTCGAGCTTCAATAGTAAATTCAGTAACTTATTTGAAATCAGATCAAAGCCATAAAAAATATTGCAAGGCATAAATTCTATTGTAAATATACTTCCTGGTTATATGCATTAAATCTAATTGCTTTCAGTTCAGCTGAATAACGAATGACAACAGGATCTAAAAATTTGTGGCCGGATTCATTTCAATAAGCTGTGATAAAGGTTCGAGTATGTTGGAAAACTTTTTCTTTGCACCAGTATGCAATATGACGAATAAGGTGCTCAACTGAGCGACCACCAACAAAAAGAAAAGTGCATATCGAATCGGTAGATTACCGAATGGCTTTATTTTTGCTCGGAAATCATGCTTGCATAAAAAAACAAACTTCTTGTTTTGCAATGATAAGTTGTTCATTTTGTCTTGTAACTTCCTCGATTTTTTCAGCGACCTTTCGCCATACCTGCTGTTCCTCTTTCAATCTGAGAAAGCATACTGTGGACAAAGTACACCAACAAAATTAACCGAATTTGACAGAATTAACTCAAAAACATAAGTTTTGGGCTAGAAAACTTTAACAATACTATCAAAATTTTAAAACACGAGAAACTAATCGAATAAAACCTTTTTTCTTTGTAAAGTCCAAGAAAAAAAAAAGACATCAGGCAACATACTAATTCGATAATATTTCCCTAACGAAAACGAAGCACTAACCTGAGTAGCGTTTCCTTCTGTTGCACAGTGATCTGTTCAGAACGGCTGCACAAATCACCAATTAGATCCATTGCTTGTTTCGCATTACCGTATAGTCTTTTTTCATATTCCAAGATGTCAAATTCTTCATTAGAAATAGAATTCCCTTCCTCCTTATTTCCCTTAAAGAATTCAACAGTATCTTCTTATTTCCATTAGGGAATTGATGAGCTGTTATCTGAGATGATACATCGTCACCAACTGCGTTTTTATTCTAGAACTTAGACAAACTATTTGGAGATGGACAACTGAGCATAACTACAGATGCGAAACAATAAGAGGATACATAATATAACGAAATAATCGTAGACAGGAACTGTATAGAAAAGCACTTGGAATGGCAATTCTGTAGAATAGATAAGACATCAAAAATATACCGTCACTGCTAATTCTAAATAATAAATTTTTCTAGTACAGTACATGATAAACCCTAAACGACAAATTTCTTAGTATATTTGTCAACTGAATAAGATTCCAAGAAGCTTGAGTACTACCTGCTTCGATACATTAACTGATATTCGTAGATCATGAATTCGCATTGCTTTATGGTTTAGACTGTTTATCATCTATTACGTGAGATATTTATGAAATACTTAAAAACACGACTTCCTCCTTTTTTTTTTTTTTTGCAAATCGAACTTTAATAAAAATAATCACGGAAGCTTTGCTTCACTCATTAGAAAAATTATTATAAGGGGAAATGCAAACACCTGCGGTAATGGACTATCAACAGTAGTTATAGTGGTCGACAATTGAGATGCAATCCTACCGTTGCCTGGGACTTCTTCCTTAATCCTTACGATATTGTCATGTTCCATCAGGGAGATAATCAGACAAGGAACCGGATAGATGTCGAGGGCATTACACAATTTGAGAACATCTGTCCCAGATATACCTCTAATATGCATTATATTGTTTCTCCACCTGCTTCTTGTCTTACAGCTATTTTCTTTTTATATTTTTGCTACCTGGAACCCCCTCTTCTCACTGCAATTTCAACCTGAATCTTCCACGAAATCAAACTCGAATAACGTCACACTGATACCTACGGCAGAACACTGGTCATTACCACAGTATAACAGTACATAAACCTAAAAGCAGATCGGACGAGAGGTTGTTGCTGCATCTCAGCTGGTTCAAAGTACATAATCCAAATCAGAAATACCTTCTAGCAGATTAGTCTATTACAAACTATCTGTTGTCCAGAATAACCACTAAGAGAAAACCTAAACAAAAACCGCTCATTTCAGCAGGCGAACTTGACGACCACTATGATACGCAACATTGATCTTTTATCCAGGTATCATTTTTCAGAAGCCATCGATATCCGATGCGCCAATTAATTATCTTCTCTTCCCATAAATTACTAGGATGGCATTTTTTTTTAAACCCTGATACGTATAATGCAGTGAAAATGCGTACATTCTTTCCTGTTGTGTGCTTTCAATTACTCTAGCACACAAGTCTTATCTAAGTGAAGTCATTTCTTTTTTTTGGATTTGATTAACAAATCTTACGCAGTGTATGTTCATGTATCCTGTTACCAAATCAAAGCATTCAACCATTTTATATAACAACCCAAATAACTAAAATTGTTCTCCCTCCACACATGCGCACATTATTTTTAAAGCCGCTCCGCACGGCAGCATGTTCCTGTATGGCATTCCTTTAAAAAAAAGTTTGTAATTATTAATCGCTGTAACCGCTGATTGATAATGACAAACTTTTTTTAACTGAAGTTCGCGTCCAGTTAATGAACAACTGTTACAAAATCGTAAAAAACATTCTAAAGGACAAGAACGACCAGATATTAATTTATAATCTTATGATGGAATGAAATTATATAGAAATTTGTTTGGAAAAGTACAATAAATGAACACCATCCCACATAACTCATTTAGAGAAGCATATCCAACAATATCTAATCTAAATATTGCGACAACCATCTGAAACCTTCCCCGTATCCTTGGCGCCTTAAAACCGAGCACATAAAAACTTCCATTGGTCTCGACGATATATCCATCCTCGAAATTTGTCCCTAAACAATAATATCTGAGTAAAACTCATCCAAGTTCGGGTTACTATAGAGTATTTGTGGAACTTAACTTTGTATTACAATAAATTTAAGCCTTGAAACTGTTCTACAGGTATCTAAATCATAAAAGAACATAACGACCAGTGAAAAATCAGGGAAAAGGGCTGATGGATAGCCATTAGTTTAAATCCAGATAAAGATAGCTTAATTAAACGTCACTTAAAATATATTAAGGAAATGTGAAATGAGGAGGATAAAAGGGAACAACACAAAGTAAACAACGACTGGTGAAAATAAAAACACAGTGTAGCTTCTATGAAAAATAAAAACCAATAAATTTGCATCAACAAACTTTTCCAGTGGTCATGTTTGATACTCCCAAATGCCACTTCAGTTGATCTTCTCCTAATGCATTTGGCTTATCAATCTTATTTCCGAGAATAAGTAGTGGACAAGAAGCCACTTGCTCATCGCCCAACAAACTTTCGAGCTAAAAACACAAAGAAGTTAACACTACAGTTTAAAACACAGAGTAATTATTGCAACTAAACGCACGAATTTAACTTCTGCATAAAATTCTTCTGTAAAAAAAAAAAGCTGAAATAACGACTTGATTAAACAGCACCTCACGCCTACTTTCCGCAATCCGCTCAACATCAGCACAATCCACTAAAAATACAATAGCGTCTACAGCTGGAAAATAATCCTTCCAAACACGTCGTGCTGAAAATGTTTCACTCTTTCAATTCCTATATGATCCGATGAAATAAACGCCACTAATCTTCGACAGGCATTTATCCTTGAAATGTAGAACATACTTCACTGCTTTCTGCATAATCATTGCGATTTATGACAAAAAAGTCAAACCACTACTTGCTTAAAACACAGTAATTGCTGCAACTAAATTAACCCACGGATTTGTTTTTCTCTTTGCGTAAAATTGTTGTGTGAAAAAAAGGCTGAAGTAACGGTCTGAACCAATTTAAGTAAAACTAAAGCGGTTTTAAAATGCATTACCTGCATCAAAAGAGCTATCTCATCAGCACACAAAAATCTCGTCAGTTATATAGGAGAGTCACCGAACTAACCTTGTTCGTGTCCACCAAGATCAAATGTTGTGAAGCGAATACCACCCAGTGAAAGCTCTTCAGAAGCTAGAACCGCATCTCATTAAATATACTATAAATTGAAAGAAATGATAAAAGAACAGAACCGGTAATCAAAGCTAATCAAACATAACGTGTATGAATCTTAAATTTTCTAGCACATAGCACATAAATATTATATAAAAACATTTGGAGAACAATTTCCCTATCTCTCCCTACTTTTTCAGCGTTCCCTATTTATACGAGAAATAATCTCAACGCTCCTATTCCAATGAACTATTTTCACAAAACATAAAGCCTAACATTTCCGAATATTCGTCAAGAATTAAGGGAGTTATATATGTGCATAGAACATAAACATATCACCAGTACTAGAGTACCTTCAAAGTACAGAAAGATAATCCAAAAGGATATTATAAACATATAAACTTACTAGGATGAAGTGTCGGAACATGTTGGGCCATACGATCATCTTTCAACATATGAAGAAGTGTCGTCTTGCCAGCGTTATCCAGCCCCAAGAAAACTAGTTTACCGTTTTTCTTAGTCAGACCTGTAACATTAAAATCAAAATAGCTGACGTCAACCTGGAAATTTCCGTACGTTGTTATTCACGTGTTTTATCGCTGTTTAAAGCTAACACAAAAAGAAATAATAAACTTCAAGAACTTCCTCCATGCTTTTTATTCACAACTCATCTCAAGCCTCTTAAACAATTACAGATTTGAAGTATACCACCTCAGACGAACAACATAAACATATACTTACCGAGATAATTAAGCATGCCGGACACCCAATCCCACAACCAAGACATCTCGAAAATTCTATGGCGACCACGCACCCTACCGTTTTAGTGCTAAAAACAAAGAAAATATACGGTCAAAGTAGACGTGATAATTAAAACATAGTTCACGCGTACAGATATCATTAAACAAACATACTGTGCAGGGAATATTGCTGTATCTACAAATATCCAGTCATCTAGCGTAATACATCTCCAGATCGTTCCTGTGAATTTTTATGAAGTAAAATGGTTGTAAACATGCCGATACACCAACAAAAAACCAACAGTTATTTCAAGAAACTCCTTCTGAAGATCTGATGCTTCCAGTGATTGCACCGTTAAATACATTTGCTGCATAATTTTAACTGTTGCTTTCAAAAAAAAAAAAGTAAAAACGTCAAAACTGCTTTCAAAAAGTAAAGGTCAAAACAAACAGGACAAAAAGAGCATTGGCAAACTTTACTCACTCTAAGCCTTACTTTCCTAACAATCAATCTAATGCGAATCACCTTGCGCACCCGGTAATCCCAATCCACACAGTCAGTCCACTGTGCAAACGTATTTCAGCAGTAAACGCGACAACGACACGTCTCACTGACATGCACGCTATTACAGTCACAACCCTGTGAGAACCCACCCATCTTTACAGCTCAATAATTGTTTGTTCATGTATTGTAAGGTTTGATGACTGCAAGCTTGAAATTTCTGAGAGAGGAGCAAACAATCGGCAGAAGGGTCATGCAAGAGGGTATATTTGTGACATGTTACAGGAGTATAAACGTGAATGCGAGAAAATCTTTCATCAATCTCTACGTATATTGGAATATCTACATTAGTCGCTGTTCTGCAGTTGCGTTTAGCGAATAAAATACGCTGTTTTTACGAGTTTTCCGCGTAGAATACTGTTTTTTTTTTCTTTGAAGGAGCTAAGACTTTGATGCATGTCTGCTAATATCACTGGAGGAATGGGTCATATGGAACTGAGAGGAAATAAATTTGATATCAGTTATTTAGTATGAAGTGGCAATAAAATGCATTATATTAATTGTTTTGTTTTATAAATTGAAGACAGGCAGTATTTTCTTTTGCAGGCAGCACAGTTCAAATGGGATTTTCATTTCTCTGATGCTACTAGAAACAGATTTGTTGCTGCGAAATGAGTGACAACGTCCCAACATGCTTCAACTGTCAGAATAAGCTAGTTTTGGATGAGAGTGTTTTTGAATGCCTCGAGGACGAGCAGAATCCGTTTTTAGTTGATGTATTAGTTCATTCAATTTATTTGAATCGATTTAAAAACGTTTTTACCACCATCTTGATTATTCTAATTTGTCAAAAGGTGCACTATCATGGAAATGCAATTTTTTGAGTGTAAATGAGTGATGCTTGCTACATCTTTTTCCAGGATGATCCATCGCTTTGCTTTCAAGAAGGTCCCTCAGCAATGACAGGGAATCTGTTTGATATAATATGTAATTCAAATTCAGCTTTAAAGGGACCGATGTGTGAGGTGACTGATCATACTAATTATCCAGGGTGTGTTTTATAATTTCCTTCCGGACTGATTGTGTCTTATCTCACCACGGAATAAAATTCAGGATTGTACAGAGCAGCTACTTTCGGGGATGGACCAGCATTTAAAAGAACTAGACGAAGAATGTGCACAGTACCGTGAGCTACTTGATTACTTGAAAGAAGGGAGTGATGCTCGCTTAATGGATAGAAATATTGTAGCTGCAAAACTTGCTGCTATGAAGGTAACGGAAATCTATTATCCAATTATGCTTTATTATCCTTGGTATTGCTGTAAAACTATTGTCTTCTCATGAAATGAATTTCGATATTATATGATTATTTTACATCTTTTATTGTAGAATGAAGAAGCTTCTTTGATAGGAGAATCAAGAAAATTGGAGGCTGAAGAGGCAAAATTGGATGCGGAATTAAAAAAAAAAAAAAGTGAATTATATGCTGAAAATGAATCTGCGGAATTGCTATGGAGAGTATTTCGTGACAACCACAGGTGGTCGTTTCTCTCTATTATTAGACAGATAGGAGAGAACGAGAGGAAGAATATGTCATCATATTTTTGAAATTTTAAAAAAAAATTTTTAAAAAAATCAAAAATGAAATTTTTAAAAAAAAATAAAAAATGGCGAAAAAAAATGCACTTTTTAAAAAATAATGGTGAAATTTGGTCTGTTGGATTTCCTCCTACATCTCATTACGTCGTGGTTTACTTTCGAGTGCATCCAACAGTTTTTTCGTGTAATATCTAGTAAACAGGTTATCATTAATCATATAAATCAACATATTCAAATGTGAATGTGCGTATTTCAACTGATTCTTCCAAAATGATCAAGATACTGTTCCTGTACTTTGCGGTATTAATACTTAAGGCAGTTGATCAGAATGGAAATGAAGGAGCAAGATCTGGAAGCCGAGGTGCATTGTTTGAAAAGTCAACGTGATAGACTGTCAAAAATCAATGTATTAAATACAGCATTTCATATTTGGAAGCAAGGAAGCTTCGGTACAATTAATGGTTTTCGTCTTGGTCAATTGCCACATTCTCAAGTTGAATGGAGCGAAATCAATGCTGCATGGGGACAATTGGCTTTGCTGATTAATGTAAGTTTTGGATTATTGGGAATTTGATAGTATTTACTGCGCGATTACTTTAGAATTTTATAAAGCATAATCATTTCTCCTATGTTTAAAAAACTTGAAAACGAATATTGCAGACGTTAGCAGATTGTCTTGATATTGAATTCACGTTGTATCGAATTGTGCCAGTTGGCAGTCATTCATTTGTCCAGTGTTTGGATACCGGCGCTGAATTACCGCTTTTTGGTAGTGGAGGTTTTAAACCGTTTGGTCAAAAGAAATTCGATGAAGGCATTTGTGCTTTTATGGAATGTTTCTGTCAATTGCAGAGAAATATTGAACGTGCTCAGGTCAAGATGTTACACTTTATGTTAATTCATTTTTGGTACTGTTTTTATTCTGCAATGTTCTTTGTCAACGGCATCCTTCTGCTAAATAACCATTTTTGAATGGGAGTCAACTTTAGCAATTGTTGGTTAAACTGTCAACACTATGCCGGTATAATAGCTGTTTATTATTTGCTGTGATGCATAGAGATTGTTGTACACTCATTAACTATATTGACTATATGTTGCAGGACATTAGTAATTGAAAGTGAGTAATGATAAGTAGGTAAACTACGGAGAGCCTATCCACTTATCACTTTTCCTGACTCCATCGGTTCCTTCTGTGTTCTGTCCTCGTAAACTTAAGAGGAAACATAAGTACAACCTGAATGCAGTGAAAATTCCTTACACTGTATCATTTTCATGCTTACAATGAAAGTCAAACGTTAGGTGGAGAATTAAGGTGAACTAATTTTAGTTTCGGTTCCCTCACCGAATGTACAGAGAACATATCGAAGACAATAAAATGGAGTATTCTGTTAAAATGCAGTTCAATGCCGAAGAAAGGTGGACGAAGGCAATGAAATGTCTTCTGATCAATTTTCGTTGGGCGATTTCCTATGTTGTGCATTCCAAAATATTGCGAACTGAAACAGCTTTCTCATAAAGTACCTTGATATGTGATTGTGATTAACATGTTTGTGGGTTTTCACTTACCTTTAATCGTTAAGATTTTCGTTAATTCTGACAAAGTTTGAATAGTTCCTGTCCAGTTTCCTGCTACCTAATGTTCACAACTGATATCTCATGTAAAAAATTCTTATCGACAGCCACATAGGGTCCTATGAATCTCATATGGACAGTATTATACATCGGTTTCATGGACGACTTTCTTAGACATAACCGTTTGACTATAAATCTTAATCCTTATTCAGTGTGTTTAGTGTCTATAGTTTCTTGTTCCCGTAATTCTGACTTTTGTATTTTGCTGTTGTGTATTACTAATAGACTTAAAAACTTTATTGTGGGAGTCTCATTAAGATTTGGTCGATCCATATATGAGATGTGTTACGCAATCAGTACTAGAAAAGCATGATATAAGTGCTAAAACCTCGACAAAGATGAGATAAAACAATAGAGCTTTATGCAACTTTGTCAGTGTCAGTTTAATTATAAAACAGTAAATATTGAATCCGGTTCAAGCATTAGTAAGCCGTTTTTAGAATCACAATAAGGTGTAAACACGGGTTTTGAGAATCACGATAAATAAAATTGAGTGTCACCGTGCTAGAAGACCGTTATTCAACATGTATTTGACCAAACTGGCAATAAACAGTAGGATGTTGGGCTGTCAAGCTCATTATTTCTGTGCACTAACTATCGTCATAAGACTGTCGGAACTTTCCAAAGACCATCGTTCAGGTGGTGCAGGTTCTCAATACCAATACCCTGAAAAGCATTAGCTTGGAAACCATCCATTCCTCTTTCGGTACATAAAAAACTAAATTTTGCCTTATTCACTGTAAGTATTTCATCGGCAGACATTTTTGTAAGACCTATCGCCAGTGCATGCTTTTTCCCCTCTGCCATTAGAGCCACAACCTGAAATTTAAAGTATTTTTCAAGGACGAGAAACAACTTAATAGAATACATCATACGTTTGGAATACGTGGAGGATATGGACTGATGGAACACTAATATATAGGCGGAAGTTTGTCGCATTATGTAGAAGTTGACACCACGCATACAAGCGGTTTTTTTTTTTGTTCTATCAAAATACGGGAGTGTCGGAGAAACAGTCTGTGTATGGGATTTTAAGTTATTTACAAGAGATCGATGCAAAATGATATGTATACAAGGAGGAGAAAAAACGTACACTGTTTTCGGGAACATCTACATTTAATCTGGCACCTGGACTGGTTAAACCGCGACACATGATTTGAGATCCATTGAGGACGAACTTAATTGCACCTTTATCGACCTAAAACAGTTCGAAGAATTTTTTCCGTCACCTTATTTTGAGGAATTTGATAGGCCTTTTCACTTGAACGCTAAAGCAGGATTCCTGGCTCATAAATTATGTAAAGTGCAACTACTGAACTTCGATGCACTAATTGATAACGTAAGGATGATTTCGGTAATGATAAATCACAAGGAAAATACAGACTCACGTTATTTATTTAGTGGTTTTAGTAGTGGTTAGCTGCTAGTTATAAAAACAATCACAGCAGTAGTAACAAACTTCCAAAATTTCACAGGTACTTAAATCATCAACCTTTTCATGAGGCAAAATAAAAGGATACTGATGAAGGAGACGAAGGGTAGGAAAATACGGTACATCTCTCGGTTTAATAAACAGTATCTTTCCTTCACAATCAGCAATGAGTTCGACATGTTCTGGAAATCTATACTATATTAGTAGAACAAGTCATGATGGCAATGGGTATTTTATGATATTACGATGATAATGTATAGATTAACCAATGGTGAAAAAACATGGCTTGGGAAATTTATCTCAAACAAAACCTTAAAATTCATTGGACAGAGCTGAAACAAACCCTTGCATTTGATCAATTTAAAACTGTCTTTTTTAGGTAATATATCGTTGATATAATCATCTAGTAATGGTAACTGATCTACTATTTTCGATCGTATTGATTTCTGAAATAAAAGCTGTGTTACAGAAAATTACAGTGCACCCATGGATGCAATTCCACAAAGGACTTTCAAACCTTGACATCCGATATAATTTATAACGTTCTAGACAGATTACCACGACTGTATTACCTAATAATCTACATTATTTGAATTGGCACAGATGAAATATGCAACATTACTTGCAAAAATTCCCAAACTCTGATATATCTAAGACAATAAAGTGAATTGAAAGACAACAATTTGAACCTGAGCTGACGACTTCAACTGCTGAGTACCGATTATGTCCTCTTTCTCGTCGAATTTTTTGAACATTTTAACGTCGAATTTTTCTGAACATTAATATACGGAACCAAATTATTCCTGAATATTTGTTCATTATAGTTTCAAGTATTAACTTACCAATCGTAAAAACGTAGTGGAAGTAGCTGAATAAGATAGTCAGAAATAGTACGATGCAAAACTACATCAAGCATTAAATTAACAAAGTCAGTGAAGTGTCCTAGTAATTAACTGGAATTATCTGTAAACTCAACGAAACCAGAAAGAAATAATAAGTTCATGAAGATGTAGAAACAATGTGGTGAACAGAGTAACATGAAGATAAAAGTTCAGCCAAAAATTTCCTTGTCAACATTTCTAGAAAAATAAGGTGTTACATTAACGCATTAGAAAAGTGTCGTTACTGAAGAAAGATATTTATTGGTGGAAAATATGGTATATATTTAATAGAAAATATGGTATATTTAATAATTATTGAAAAGTACATATTAAACATCAGAAACTACTTTAACTCTGAATAACAAACATTTCCAACCTAAACATAACTTATCAATTCAAAAAACGAACAATACACATGAAAACGGTCCTGAATATGTCACTTTTCTTCTGGCTCAGAAATACATATCCATTCATTTTGGATATTTTCTTTCCACAACGAAATCTGAAAACGGAAGATGTGACAGTATTCCAGCACAATTTAAGTGTAATAAAGGTCTTAAAAATATCTCGTTACTTTACATTAAATTAGTTCCATTCTTTTCTAACAAATGAACTGTTCATCTTTGTGAATATGAAAGAAACGCATCTTCTAAAAAAAGCACTGTGACGTAATGAAATATAAAATGTAGCATCTTAAAACGAATCCACTTTTTTATTAACAGCCAACTCTGTTGATTCAAACAATGAAAAATTGGAAATACTTTGCATCAAAAAATTTAAATTTCCAATGATTACCACATTGTCGCCACCCGACACTGCAAGAACAGTAGCACACAGCGACCAGCTAACATGCCATAAAATGTCATCAAAGACAACCAGTTCTTGAGCAGACCAGTACCGCTGATCAACACTCGAACAACGCCAAATGATCACTTTTCTGTCCTATAGATACAGTAATTTAGACATGGAATATTTCAAAATAGTAAATGAACGTCCGAAACGATATACGAAATACCTGCCCACATGAAGCAATTGTATTGACGTTATGAGCTGCTACTGGAGCCCAAGCTACATCACGTACCCAATCAGTGTGTCCCTCCAAAGAGATTTCTAGTTCCCAAATCCCATCTTTCTTTTCTCTGAAAATAGACCATAATGACAACTATTTAAAATGTCACAATATTAACCATTACAACTACTTTTTCTTGGAAGATAACTAGTGAAAAATATTTCTTTTAAAGAAAAGTACTTTGAAAATCCTTTATTTGATGATATCAATAATAATTTGATAACAAAACTTTACGAACCTCCATATTTTAACAAAATTATCATTGCCACCAGAAACCACTCGTTTACGTAGGACGGGTCCATCACTATGGATGAGGGATGTTGAATACATTGCAGGAGCCCAGGACACTGCATTGCAACCCTGAAACTTAAATATATGTGAAGTATGTTCACAGATGAAGATTAAATATTAAATCAATTCTTAAAAAATTGTACGACTTCTACAGGACCTAAAATGCTTATTTTCCAACTTAAAAATGCCTAATTTCAAAGTTGCAAAACACAGTACCTCTCATATATGTACAGGGTTCCGATCCACTCCTTTAATCCAAACTTAGAAAATTCATATACCTGTTCATGAGCTTTAGCAATGAGTTGATGTGTCCAAATTTTTGCTTTATTGAAGATCAATAAGGATATTGCAGTATCAGTAGAAGCACAAGCTAACGTAAGACCAAATTGGTGAGGTGCCCAACTTATCGAATTAACGCTTGCATCATGATGGTTCCATTCATAAATTCTTTGCCATTTGCCAGAGATCTCTTTCCAAACGATAACTCGTCTGTAATTTCACATTAAACAACAGTATAATGATACCGATGGATTCAATCACCATTATTAAGGTTATCAAGATTAATATTCAAATGAAAGCCCATATAATTGAATTTCATAAATCGTAAACAAATGCAAAATGAAAGTAAAGCATGAAAGCGGAACATTGCAACATGCACTAATATGCCTGGGATAGTGTGACATGCATTGCCGATGTACATATTCCTATTTGTTTCATGATTTAAATTGATAACAACGTAACCATATGTGACATGACTTCTTACTTGTCATAGGAACATGAAGCTAAAACATTATCAAATTTCGGATGCGCCCACGATACTTGCCAGACTGGACCGGTATGACCATTCAATTCAGCGGAAGGATACGTTTGCCCTGACGGTTTTAGCTGCAATAAACTATTATTTCAACGGATAAGATCGACAAAGAAAATTAAACGTGGTTCGAACAAGACCAATCATTTGGTTTTTTAGCGCCACATATTTTACTGGCTCCAAAACGTTCCTACGAATTTAATCCCCTTATTGTAGGTTTAATCACTCACATTTTTCATATCTCAAACATAAATTCAGCCCAAAAAAAAAAATACAATGAACCTCAAATATTTTAATCAAATTATCACTGGAACAAGTAGCTAGTCGAGTACCGTAATAATTCATTTGAGCATCATGCTGAAAAGAAAAAGTTTCTTAGGAAAACAATAACAACGCAGAAACAAATTAATGGATACATATGATGACTGCTGATGATAATTTCCTTTACCCATATAACAGCTCGGCCTAGACGGTTCGACTTACTATCAAATCTAATACCAAGAATCAAAATGAGAGAATAAATATACAAGTCTAGAAAATGATTCCTCAAAGTTCCACGCGTAATGGCGTACTACCAAAAAAAGTCCTGCTTAGAAATGAAAAAGATAACTCTCTTATTATTGCGACGTAGTTCTATCAACGAAGAACAGTATTAAATGACGTAACGATCACAACTGTTATGCATTAAGCGCTTCTACATAGATTGATATACAGACAAAGTAAAACATATGGATAGTGAACTTACGATAGTAAGGCGATGGGCTGTATCAAGTTTTGACACAATAGTCACCTAAAATAAACATAGGAAGGAACAAAGAGTTACATTGGTAATGAAAATAAAAGAAGACTTTTACTAAATGATTACAAAACACATATCCGCTGCAATTTTGCGTATGACTAAATAAAATCGGGATACTAACCATAACTTCCCGGTTACCTCTCGCAGAAGGCCAAATAAATCTTAAACGAATGTGTCAGCCTGAAAAGCAATTCTAGCAAATGAAGTGAAGTAGAAAAAGATAATTTTATTATACTAAATCCCTGCAATACTAATACACCTACTTAATGCACCTACGAACACTTTACCATCACTTAACGAAACAGTGATAACTTCTTTATAAGTTACCAAATAAATACCTTGGCATGGACCTCTTGCATGCATGTTGGCAAGTGTCTTCGTACCTCATTCTGTGGAATAAGGATTCCCAGGGAAATCAGATAATTATGTTTTTACTCTGCACGTGCCTTGGATATATTTGACATCTAACGTAGTTAATGTAGGCCAATGTTTTCAAAGTTCATGTACTGTATGCACACCTGAGATTACCGTACTCATCGCTGTTGAATAGTGAGATAAGAATTTCTCCAGATGCTAACTCTAGTTCCTCATCTCCTTACACCGCAGTGTATCTTTGAAGATTCAAGAGAAGTTAATATATTAATTAACAATTTGTTGATTAATTAATAGCTCATGTTAACAGTTGAAGTAAATATTTGTCATAATGGATTCAAGGTGCGCTGTAATCCGAAACTCGATACGACCTCTTAAAGGGAAAGTACATAATATTGCTGATACCAAATAGAGGTTGCTGTCTTAAACTATTATGAGATGCTTTGATATAATTAGATTTGGTGAATTGACACCATCTGTGGAAAAGCGAACCCCTAACTTCCTTTCTAAAAATACTTCCTCCCAATTTTTTACTACTTATAATAGGTTATTTTCTATAGCCACGTGAAATTACGGTCGACAGATTTTTTGTCATATTTTCTTACCGAAGAAATTTTGAAGAAAAGAAATTTCTGCAGCGATAACTACATTCAAGTACTTGCTCCTTTTTTTATTAGAACTGCAATATGCTCATTTTCTAGGTGGAAATCTTGAAAGACACAACATATATAGATACAGACAGATACAGCTGTTTTCAGAATGACTCTACTTTCGAGGCCATTCTTTTCGGGATGATTGTGGTTGAAGCCTCATCTTGCATTAGTGAATTCAAGTATTTTCCGAGCGTAGTTTGATAGTAAATTTACTGGAAATTTTCATTTAGAGCAATATAATATATTTTGGGACATAATGTAGAGAGTTTTCTGAGGACTGTTGGTCTCTGAATAATGATATTAGCATTTATCAATATTGCTACTGTGTAGGGTGAGGTGTCATTTCGAATGCAGTTGTTCGATGAAGCTGTTCGGACCGCATTCTAAAAGATGTAAAAAATTTTTATAATTTCATTTTAGCAATGACGCAAGAAACTGTTGATAAGGAAAAAAATTGGAAAATCCTAAACTCTGTGCAAGTGCCACCTCTGCGTAATTTTCGCGAATTCTTCGCTGACATGTCAAGATTTGAGGTTAGTCCTGGTCTCTGTTCATTCAAAACCGATGCTTTGTTTGATGAAGAAGTTGATTAACCATATATATCACTGCTGTTAGTCCTTTTCTGCTTTGTCCCTTCATATTATTCCATCGCCATCCATCTTATTTCTTGATTCTTCCAACCTTGCCATGTCAATGCATTTATTTTTGTCTGGAAGTTTTTCCTTATACAATGTTTTTTTATTCCATGCGAAATCCACAATAATGATTTATTGCAGATCCCACCATTTTGTGATTTGGCAAAGTGGAATAATCGTATGTTGAGCAATTTATTATATTATCAAACAAATTATTTCGCTTTTATGTCACTTGTCATATTGTTTTGTGCATCAATACAATTGCGTGACGTTTTAATTGGATTGGTTGCTATCATATCTGTGGCTGCTGTGCTCATATTTTCTCTTTCGTCAGATCCCACGTTCGTACAGGTAGGCAGACTACTATTTTTCTGGTCAAAGGTATGGTTGGACAGTTCATATTTTATAGTTTAGTAGTATTGAAAATAGTTTTTTGTTTCATATATGACTCTGCTTACGGTCGTATGTAGTTTTCTGATCTGTAGGCAGAATATTTCATATAACGCTATTTTAAATTGGAAGATATATTTTCCTGTAAGATTTTGGGAGTGATGTGGTATTGAACTTAAAATATGAAAAATTTATGGTGAAAAATGATGACGGCAGAAATCGTAATTTTTTTCAGACACGTCACGATCACACATTCATCACGTTGGGTGCTATGTTGTTGTCATTTTATTTTTTCGTTTATGCTATAGTTCCAGTTGTGACAGTACTCTTTACATTTTCACTTCCACTGTTGTTAGTTTTGGTGCATGCATCAACCCGCCTTAGAGGTTTTAAAGTTAAGTTCAATCATCAATTCGAGCGAATCGGCTTGAAGCACACAGTTATGGCCTGTTTGTTGGAGCGATGTGGTATTGAACTGAAGATATGAAGGTCTTTGTTGTTTCGAAAAAATATAATGAAGTTTTTCAGTTGGGATCCACGGGTTTTTCCTTTTTAATTTGTCATATAATGCTTTTTTTGCTGTTAATAAACTTTCACCTCGTATACTGCTTTATTTCGTTTGAAATTGAAATTTAAGCTAATCCATTTATGACTCAATTCTTATTAAAATGCTAGGTTTTTCTTTAAATCTTTTGTAATGCGTTACCATAACAGTTTCCGTAATACTTTCGTTGTTCACATTCTGCTTTATTCTACATATTTTATAGTTTATCGCATCGAATATAAAGTAATGAAATGGAAGAGCTGTTGATTCTTGTAACCAGCATAGAGGTTTTGGTGTCTTCACAAATAAATAAATGAACATATAAGGTAGTTTTTCTGCACCATTTACTCAAGCTTTTTTTGTCGTTCTTCCCAGTTTTCAACCAAAATATTTTCATTTGCGTTTTTACATTCTTTACATTCATCGGTTTCCATAATTTGTTTTCATGGAGTGTTATGCTTAATTTCATGGTTTTTTTTTTTTTTTTTTTTTTTCATTCTCCTTATTAGTTTCTTATCTTTTGCAGCTTGATTGTTTTCAATTTAAATATCCAGGAAAACTTTCCTTTATGTCAATGGAAAGGAGAAATTAGGAAGTGGTTTTATTGTTCAAATTCTTATTTGTATGGATCAGTCGTGTTTCAAAAATATGCTTCATCTTCATTTTCAATAATAAATCTGTATATTCCTTATTCTACTATTGCAGGTGTATTACTTGCTGTTCATGTATACATCCAGTTGTTATTCATTAACGAAGGGTTGAGGATTTGTGCAGTCGAGGATAACTTTGGTTAATTATCGCATTTGGAAATAGAGCTTTAATGTTAAGGGCAGTGTGGTTACTACTGTTTGGGAGTGGTTTCTGTTCATTGTATTGAGTGTTCGGTCATCTTGCTGATGCGCTTTTGCAGTTTAATAAAGTATGTTCTTGGGCCTGCGTGATACTGGGCTATGTTGAACTGCTCGGTATGTCTGGTTCGGGCATTTTCTGGCGAGTATACGGATTGCTCCTTGAGAAGTCGCTGATGGATGATATGGATTTGGAAATGGTGGAGGAGTATTACTTGAAATCTGAAGGAAAATCGCTTATTTCTTCCAGAGTAGGTGTTCCATCACTTTCCATAATACCGCATTCTTGGAGCATTATCCATTACCATTAAAGTGGGTGGGCATTTGAAAGTTGAAGAATGTTCAGTTCCGTTTCATGGAAGAATGTTATACTTTCAGTCCGTTTCATGCTTTTCGATAATATCTGTCGTTATTGCTAGCGGATTCTGTGCTTCTTATCACGTGTTAGGCCTTTTGGTATGTCCTGCACTTTTCATTGGTTTGCTGGAAACTACCAAATGGTTTTGTTATTATGTCGTATCTTCCTACATTAATATATCAGCTGATTTCAATGCTGTTTTTCATCGTATCATTGCTACCATCCGGTCCCGAGAAGTAGCTTTTTTCGGGTATGATCCATTTCGTTTTGAGTGTAATAAATTTATGGGTCACAAACTCAAACTCTACTTTTGATTACGGCCTTTTTTTTTTTTCCTGATGCATGTACAGTGCGTACTGCACTATGAAGTGAGGCTTCGCTTCTCAAACTTTGTCATTTTTAAGCAAGTATCAGTTAGAAGATGGATCGATTTAATAAATCTAAATAATTATCATTTAATTATTTTGGATCGTGCGGTACAGATTGCGGAAAAAGTTTGATATGAATGCGACGTTGTGCTTACGTTCACTTCGACTTGAATTGTTGAAGGCGCTTCGTTGTGATGTTCAATGTCATGTGCATATGTCGAAAACTTTGCACAAGTATTAATTCTTACTGCTTCATTTTTGTAGGTGCTATGTTCTTTATTTTCGAATCAGTGTTCTATGAAATTGCAGTGAGTTGATCATATGATGGTGGTAATCAATTGTATGATTGAAAAGAGTTTGTGTAAACATCATTAAGAGTATGGGTCTCATTCTTAAGGGAGAAGGTGGGAACTAGTCGAAGTAATTAAGAAGTGATTTTTTTTAAGGTGTGGTGATTCGGAAAAGTTATTCTGTGAGATGTTTACATTCGAATTGTCACGGTTGGCTTTAGAAGGCGATATATACGAAGAATTTCTCCAGCTGTCTGCCTTAAAGGTAGCTTCATTTTCAATTTATTTATGCTATGTCACGTTGTTCAGTGCTTTACTTTTCTATTTTTCATTTTCATCTGCAACAACATGTGAATACTTTCTGCTGGGTTTTAATCTTTGTTAGATCCTGGTGCATTAATTGACAATAACCAATTTTACTACTTTTGTCTTGCCGGATAGCGGTTTGGAGATTCTTTTGCATTCCTTATTCATTAGTTTTACGTTTATATATGCAGGAATTGTGGCAACTATTATTTCTCGTACGGAGTGAATATCTTCGACTTTTTCTGTTGCATTTATCGCGTCCTTCGCACAGACTGATACGTATAGTTCTGAACCTATTTCACGAAACACTGCTTCTAAGAAACATAAAGACCAGGTGAGACTTAATGCAGCTAGCTTTCTGAGTAAATAAATTGTATGCAAATTGGCGGTTGACCTGTTGTGAAGTTGGATTTTTGTACGGAAGAATTTAGTTCCTTTTTCCCAATAATACCCAGCTTGTCTATATAGAATTTAATTTTCTATTCTATTTAATTGGTGAATAAAATTTTCACGCGCTGGCCCCAAATATAACTTGGTAAAGTTTGACTTAGGTTCATTTTAGACTCAAATTAACGTGAGATAAAGTGACTAATTAACAAGGCCCCATGAATTTTCTCATCTGTCCATATTTTGTTTAACTGTTGCAGGTGCTTCTTTTTGTAGCCTTAAAGATTTGCTTGCTGAATATCTCTCAGTTCAGCTCAGGTATGTTTTGAATAAATTTTAAAGCGACAATTTTTCTACAGGCTCGTATGTAGTCTTGAATTTATCAACTTTCGCAATTGCTGTGTAGCAGAGAACAATATACGCAAATTTTCGCCTTTTTTATCAACTACCGAGAAGATTCTAGCACATATCGGTTTTGCTTCAGAAATGTATGTTTCCTTTAATTTGTATATATTAGTTTTTGTTTACCTATATTATCTATATTAGTTTTTGCTTACATTGAATTATTTTCCATACTACTGTATCTTTTAAAAGCTATGTTAGACTATAAAGATAATTAGAATAACTTTCACTTGTAAAAAACAGTCTAAATGGTAAGTTCCCATGTTGCAGTTTAAGTAGCGATGAAATACCAGAAGAGAAAAAATTTCTGTTTGTTACTGAAACATTGAAAAAAGCGATTGAATTTTGTGCTGTCGAAGCACATATAGAACAAGAGGATACAAATCACTCAAATATGTCATCAAACTCTTCAATATCGGGAGGTACTGATGAGCCCCAATCTTCTGCGGATGAGATGCCTGTTGAAAAGGTTGCTTGTTTTTAATAAAAGCTTTTTTAAAATGTTCTTTACTAGCAAATGTCACTTTTCTAAAGGAATTTTTGTCATTGAATTGGTAGTCCTATTTTTACAGGTATATGAAGGATTTCCTCTTGTCTCAGAAGACAAACAAAAGGACATATTTCTCCCCTCATGGCAGGAAAGCGTAACTTTTTGAATAATTGAAGTGTACTTTTCGAGGAAATAATGTATAGAATGCCGTTATTGCGGTTTTGATTACCGCTTGATGAAGAATGAAATTTTTTATTTTACTATCCAGAGGATATATAGCATACAGCAAAAAATTCAGAATTAGAAGCATTGATTCTTCATAATTTAATTAAAAGTCCTAAGTGCAGTGATTCACTGAAAAAATCTTCATTCTATGTTGTAGGATTCAAATGAAGCAGTAGCAAGATCTGTGGTTATAGAGCTAAAATCACGTCTTGTTGAGCGAATTAAAGAATTGGACACAGCTAAAACAGCGGAAATTGATCATGCTCAAGGAATGGCGACAGCTGAAGATGGGTTTCGAGAAATAACAGCAACTGATGGGAGCTATGATGCTGAGCGAAACGAGTTTAATTTTTTTAGTTCAGTTTCGAAAAGTATTGGTAGACTTCAATCGCCTGTAAAGTTAGATTTAAAACAAGCCATATCTTTTATAAAATCAGCGCCAAGTGTTGATTTTATAGATGATGCTGGAAATGAATCATAACGTAGAACAGAAAGTGCTTTTTGGCACAACGTTTTTGTAAGCTTGGTATTATTGAAATACTCTCCTTCGTCTGACTTTTTCTTTCATTGTTTGTAGTTTGGTGTTTTCATACAATCTGTTCACTTTGCTCATACATTTCTTCATGAAGTTGCGGAAGCTTCTAATGTTTGGAAAGCAGTAGAATTTATTAAATTAGTTCCACGTGCATTTTACAATGATCATTCAGAAATGTAGGAAGAATGGTTTTAAAACGGTTCAGGAGGAACTGATAAAAATATTTGTACAAATGGCCAGTGCTATTTTAAAATATAGCGGATCAAATCTCGACTTGAAGACTCAGTCAGAGTCGTTGATAGTTGTGTTAAAAGAAATGCAAATATAAGCATGCAGTGTAGAAGTACTCAGCAATGTTTTTGTACAATCTGTGAAGTGAGCAGTTCGATGAAAAACGTACTTGTATTTCAACTGTATTATCTAATAATCAGATCAAGTTCATGCCTGCGTTTAAAATAAATATTCGATTCCACATAATACCTGTCACTAGTGCACGTGTATGAAGACGGATGATCTGTTTGCAGCGGGTATTTGGCATTTGCTCAATGGTCCAACGGTTCCGTATCGTATATAACGTAATCTTAAAACACTTTCAAAATTGTCCTTTTAGAGAATCAAAATATTCACAGATGAATTAACATTTGACCATAATTTACATATTATCGAGTGTAAATATTGGAAGTCGTTTCCTCTTCCAAATTAGTTATGATTTGCATGTTTCTGCACAAGTAAAATTCGTTGCGTCAACTAGAAGGGCAATAAGCATCAAGATGTAAACTGTTGTAAATAAAGTAAGTGAATGATGTGAGCTGGCCAAACAAACAGGTTGGCCTATTTATCTTTAATCATTCATTTTTCTGTCACAAGTTGTGCTTGTTTCTATTAAGTTACCAAATAATACAGTAATACCTCATCATGATTCATTGTTTGGAGTATCTTCTGTACGATAGCATGAGCAGTCTTCTTGGTATTTGCGTATACAGCAAGAATATGGCCCTCCCGGAAGACACCGTAACCATTCATTGCGGATGTTTCTTCGTTTTCGGCAATCAATATCTAAGCAAACAGATATTTTGTACAAATCACTTGTTAAAATTTTTGTTCAAATCCATTTTGTGCATGTTCCTCACACATAATCCCACGATCTTCTATTCCTTATTATTACAATAAATAAGATGATTATATATTTGCGTAATTCGTGTGAAGGAAAACACAATAATAGTAAAGAACATACATTTGCGTTTTTAATGAGATATTCCAGAAATCTGCTACGATCCGCACTGCTCACTGTCTTATCAAATTTGACGAGTTTTAGCATTTGTGAGCTATTAAATTCGGAAATTTTGATATCTAAAATGTATTGAAATGAAATCCATATATGTTTCTGTTCCATTTTCAAGCTATTTTTCATTTATCATGTAAAATATCTTCAGTCTATCGAGTAGTGAAAGTTAATATTTGAGAAATTCATTTTGTTCACTTGTACATCGCTGTGGTATACTGGAACGAGTTCTTGAGTATGAAAAAGATATAAAAAGAAGGGAATAAAAACATATAGACTAATGAGGAGGGGAACAATCTTCTTCCCTTCTATGTTATCAAGTGATTACTTTTATTTTGTTAACTTTTCCTCATTACTACTTCATCAACGAACAACAATGATACTTTGTTTTTTACCGCATTAAGTTGTACAGAAACGTTTTTCTTTACCATTTGTTTAATACGATTTAAAAGGGTCAACCTTATAAAATTTTAAGCATTCAGAAAGTGAGTGAAACTTTTCATTTCTATTGAATCAATAATATCTGTCAAATATAACCTTTTAACATTTTTAGAAAATGCAAAAGAATCATTTTTATTCTGAAAAATTGGTGAAAGCACCGCTATTTCACTATCCATTAGTGAGTGGTAGTAAGCTAAATTTCAATCAGTCATTAATCGACAAATAATTTATGCTCATTTCATTTGGGAAATAAATAGAAATTCAAAATTATAATTTTCCACTATCACTTTAAAAAAATTATAGATGAAAAAGGAACTTCATTTGAACTACCAATCTTTTATTTAATTCGTCAAGATGACACTTCTTCGCAAGAAAACTCGGGAATTTCCTGGATTATAATCCTCTTTGAATGCAAAGACATTATGTAATAGGAAATAATATACATACACAATATCGATATGCTAATTCTCAACACTGGCAGCAATATGAGGACGAGTATCCTAGCTTTACAGTTTTTACTCCAATTGCTTTTTCTTATGATCTTTATGGATTTCATTATTCTTATGAAAGTATGTGTATGTGGAAAATTCTTACTTTCCACTGTCTCGAGAGTTTTTTCAAATTCAATTTTATTGACAGTGAGCTCACAGAATTGCATGTTATCTCTGACAACGAAACCAGCCTTATCCCTCCAAACATTCATATCATCGTTATCAGTCAGATCAACGGTAATATTTTTTCTCAAATCTAGATTCAATCGTCCCAGCGTCCTGGAATATCAGCTGAGCAAATTGAGTTAAGTGGGAAATTTGAGTAATTCAAAGAAACTTGGGCATTAGTTTTTTCTCTTTCAAATTCATTTTTAATTTGAAGCGATAATCAACTAAAGCATCAATCTTGCAAAATATGTGGCTATGTTGAATGAATCAAAAAAAAAAAAAAAAAACCAAATTGAAGATATAAATCTAAACAAACATTGGGTATTAATAACTATTTATTAAGGAAGAGTGTTAAAACATTCACGTGTACAATTTTGAAAAAATGAAAAAATTTGGAGCTATTTTTGTGCATTTGCTTAGTACTTCATCTTAGCCGCTTTACTTTCCACCGTTTTTAATTTATGTATCTATGAATCGTTTTATGGATCTTTCTCATTATGAAAGCTAATAAATCCTACAAATTAAACTGGAAACCTTTCAGCAGCTTGATCAATTAGATGCTGTAATGGTAAACGTCCACTAGGATTATGATGCACCTGTATAAATACTGGCTGTAGACTTACATCCTCAGCTACATCCTTAAAGAAAACAATTATTTCAATCGAAATTTTAACTAAAAAATAAAATAAAATAACAATAAAAATATAATTCTGCTATCGCTGTCTAGTTTTTTCTTCCTTCAAATTTAAAAAATAAAGATATGTTCAATTACAAGTACAAATTTCTGTCGTATACTAGAGATAAGAATTTAAGTTAGAATAGAAGAAAAAATTAAAGCCGGACATCACAACCCATAAAAATCCAAACCTGAATGTTGACAATTTGGAAACATTGTGGATCATCAGTTGGTTTGATGCTAATGTATTTATCACCAATGGACTGATCGATTTGAACTGCCGTACAATAGGCTTTATTTGTAGTATAACTCATCATTGATACAAGGCCACCTATGGCTCCTGTTAAGAAATCATTCTCTCATCTGAATTCGAAGGTTTTTCAAATTTTTCATTACCAGACAAACAGAAATTTAAATAAAAAATTAGAAAGTGATACACTGTAATTTACTAAATTTTATTGCAGAACTAAATTTCCAATTATTTTTAATTTCGTCATCTTCCCAAATCATTGCAGAGTAATGAATGAAGAAAATCGTAATGTGTGGTATGGATTATATGAATTTTAAACTTCAGTATTTTAAAAGGAAATGCCAAATTAACCATTAATATTTCGGATAACTACAAATTTTGATTCTGGAATATTGGTCATTTCATTCAACACTTCGGCATCATTTGATATTGTTCGGCTCAAAAATGAATTCCAACCCATGGCTATTATCACACTGAAAATTTAGCTTTTCTCAATAATTCCAGTTTGTCAATAACTCCAGCGTTAATTATTTCAGTGATATTTCACCGAATATCTTACCCATCCTTTTAAGAATCTTTTTCTGTCTAATTTTCAAGGAAAAAAGTGAAAAAAAAAACTTTTCAATGTGTGAAAAATATTCTACAACAAGAAAAAAAAATGGATGCGGCGAACCACAACACTGATTTAATGGTGGTAAGCATATTTATGAAATTGTTAAAAGAAAATCACTGATTTTGATATAAAGGATTTTTTGGTTGATTAAAATTAAAATTGTGAGAAAAATGATTCAGTTTAGAATACCATTGTTCAAAGGCAACGCGAAATGTGTGCAAATGACGAATGATTAAATAGTTAGTAGAAATCTCTTTCACTCATTTAGAACAAAAAGTAATTTAATTACCAAACACAGTTTTAATCTAAATAAATGGCAACCTATCAGTTTATTTGATGTAATGTGCTAATTTTAGAAGTGTGCATTACAATTGCTGTGAAGTACCAAGAAAGTAACATAACTTATACGCGGAAATGTCAGGAGAGAGCGGTGTGGAAAGTTAATGGTCCTTTGTGACTTCATGGGTGGAAATTTTGAATAAATCAAAAGTGACGATAATAGCAGCAGAAGATGATGGCAAGAAAAGTGAGAAAGATATACCGCGGGGTGGTATAGTCGCATATTGGTATGTGGGGTAGGCGGGGTGGGTACCTGATATTAAAACAAGTTGTGAATTGTTAAAGTAGTGATTCGAAGTCGATTGGGTTGTTTTGTAATTTCGCATTACCATCACTGCAAATGTCATCGCTGCTGTCATTGCTCAGTGCAATTTGTTTGCTGGGGCTGTATACGGTTGGTATTTGTTTGCGACGACAGAACAATCGTCGAAATTGTCACCTGAGCTGGTAACGATGACAACTGAACAAAATCTTCGAAAATGGCGGTTGCTGCCGAACATAACTAACTATTCAACCGCACACATCGTATATAAACCAGAGAAGACACTCACACATACATGCACATATATGCACATACACACACATACGCACACATGCATATATATATAGGGAGAGAGAAAGAGAAAGATGGATGTTAGTTGTCATGTAAGATTACTTTAATTTCAAGCAGTTTCTGGAAAGCTAGGCAAAGATGAGATAGACTAAAATGATCCGGATGTCACAGAACGCTATTCCATCACTCTCAATATCATCATTCGTCATTATTACCATGAATAGAAAGAACCGGTTATCAGTCCGTTTTGCTCACATCATCCCACTGTCATAATAAAGGCGAGTTGTCAAATGTTTGCTATGCTACTTGTTCCTTAATAGATAATGACTGTATCAAAAAAATTCCAATCTTTGGGTTTCTAATTAATTATAAAGGATAAAATAATATTTAAAGCAAAAAAAAATATGTCAATCTTTCGAATTAAAATCTCAGAAGAATATCAGATGTTTATCATTTTTCCTATTAAATCAAAAAATTAATTTAACAATATTACTAATTAATTTTGATTACTGAATGAATAGTCAAGGAAGAGAAAAGATATCATCAAAAAAACTTTTTTTTGTGTATTGTTTGGGTAACAAATTCAAAAAGACAATGGTTCCTTTACAAAGACAATAGTTCGATCGGACCAGTTGATGAAATATCGGCGGATAAGGAAAGTATTATTGAATATATTCAATTTTGCTTTAATTAGTAAAGTCTACTTCTTCAGACTGCTAATGCTCCTAACAATCGAGAAAAAAGAAGTCTGTTTTAAATCTTCTCTTTTATTTCAAAATCGACCCAGTTTCAATTTACAAGAATTTTCATTACATTATCATGTTCCAAGAAACCATTTATATTCAGTTTCAGTCATTTTTATCAAAAATCAGTTACACTAATGTTTACAATGATACCAGTATCAAAATTACTGTTCGATCTACAAATAAATAACTATGCTATCTAGTATGGATAAGACTATTTCCATCTCGCTTAACCCGAGATTCGAATAGTATTTGAAACTGATGGGTTGCTATATTCAGTGAATTCTCCAATTTAGTATTCATAGGAATACTTCGAAATTTCTTGAAAAGTTCAAAATCGGCGTCATATGGTACGACATGGTGTAAAAATAGTTCCATTGGAATTATTCTAGCAGGGTGAAAATATATTTCTTATGTGACATTTCTTTATGTAGTCATCACTGCTTGCTATTGGTCGTCTATTAAACTGTATCTAGTTTATCGGTCATCAATGTTATTATCACAAGTATTACAATTTAAAAGTATTTTAACAATGAGCAATTGAATCCCTTAACTCGAAATTCAAATATTAGTGTTAAAAATACATTCATATTCCTTCGTGGCAAAACCTTCATAAATGCAAGGGTTCAAAAAATACTTCACATTCACAGTGGTATTACCTGATAAGCAGCCACTCAGTGTAAAAGTAGTTTAAGTTGAAAAGTCAAAAAATGTACCTGTCTCTCGGTTTTATTAGGTCGGTCTTCTTACGAATAAGTGTCGGTCAACGGCCTTTAAAATGCCACTCTCTTGTTCTCCCAATAAAATGACATTACACTTCGAACTGCTGTAATATTGGGAATCTAAAGTTGAACCCATTAAAGCAATCTACACTATCACCCGAATCTGGACAAAATACCCAGTGTTCGCACTTTTGTTTTTGTAAATAAGGACAAATTACTCCCTCGGAAATAACCGGAGACTAGACGGAATTCCTATATACTATAATTTTCTGCTAGGGGTCAAACAACCTCATACTACTGTTTGCGTAATGTTCGCACTACAGTCAAAACTGAGTTTAATGGAAAAAAGTAAACACTGGGTCAAGAATGTTCATCTCCGATATGCTATAGTTTCTCGTGACTCGATTTAACAAGAATCAAACTATCTTAACAAAGAATTGTTAACATATTGCACAGCGTTAAGGTAGGTAAATGCAGAACAAATATTAAACAGCAGCCGAAAAGCTGAATTATCCCTATTTTTGGTTATTCTTGAAAATGGATACAAGATAAACAAGGTCAACATAAACTTTATTATGACAGTGTTAAAGCAAATATAATACGACCAGTGAATTACTAGAATCACAAAAATATTACAATAAGGAGCTCATAGAGTACGAAGATCCGTCAATCAGCGCTAAAGAAATAAAAGAGAAAGCGCAAAAAATCTTTGTTCCCATAGAAGTCCTGGAAAATATAATCCAACAGGAATGTGGACAATTCCATGAAAATATGATACTAAGTTACCATCACTAGTGCTTTTAAAAATTGTGAAGCAATAAAACCCGCAAGCATCAATATTTTTGCTTACATCATCAAGTTTCCAAAATCTGAAATTAAAGAAAAAAAAAAAAAAAAAAGAAAGAGATAAAGTGATTACAGAGGCTGAGATCCATAACAAAACAGTTGAAAAAGTTAACCAATTTTGATTTCGAAAGAAAGCAAACTGAGGGAAAGGTTTCTAATTTCCAGAGGAGCAGTAGATTTTTTGAGTAACCTGCTAAAAATTACAGAAATTTCCAAACAATCATTTTGTGTTTTTCTGCGATAAAGTCACAAAATCGTCTATAACACAACTAATATATGTTACCTGATGCATTAACTGGTGATGCAGTAGCTCGCTGTACTGCTTCAACTGCCTTACGCAAAGAACGTATTTGTACATAATCTGTTACAGCTGGAAGAAGCGATGCTTCGTTTGTATGAACAGGACATACTTCAATACACTTCTCATACAAACGCAAAGCCTCATCAAGCTGCTGTCTGAAAGAGAATCGGTGGATCAAACGCATGTTATTAAAATGACTGCACGCTATGAGTTCCTTTCAAAGAGCATATGTCTTATATGCAGCTCTTTGCAAAACAAGTTCTATTAAATGGTCAAAATTCATATGAACTTTGAGATTTACTATATATAAGCCATACAACCTTTGAAATGCTATTTTTGCTAAAATGGCCAAAGCATCCGGATTGGCCTTTTCTCTTTCTAAACATATCTTCATTTTCGACTCCAACATGGCCATCTGATTCGGCGAACCTTCCATCTCTTCTGCTTCTACCATTCTGAAAGGAAGTACATTAGAAGTAAAGAAAACAAAAAACAAAAAACTTCCTTTTAAATGAGGAAAAGAACCATGCAGTATTTCAACCGAAGAATGTTCATAAAACTTACGCAAGATAAAACACTGGTGCAGCATAGTCAGGAATACCCTCAGCAGCTTTTTTAAATGAGGCTTTTGCTAATCCTTTATTTTGAGCTGCATAATACAGCTGAAATTACTGCTTATAAGTCGTTATAAATTCCAACGAAATTTATAATGCATTAAAATGATCAGTTAATACCAAGTAGGCAATATAAATTCTCTACTAAATTACGGATACGTATCTTTGCAACAATCATAACATGATAACATGATAGTGAAATACAAAAAGGGAAAAAGCAAAGACATACTCGCCCAGTGATAAGGTAAAGCACTGGATCAGCATTTTGGTTCATTTGCAGGAGTTGATCAACCTTTGTCATACAAGCCACAGCACCTCCAACATCACCCATTGAAGCTTTCAAAGCCATGTTGCAGTTTGCCCTCATATGACTCAAATAAAACTATCATGAATTAATTATATAGCACATAATTATATAACAAACGACTTCTAAATATGAACTGTTAAATCATCTGAACTTCAAAAAAAAAGTGAAAAATCAAAAGAAACAAAATAATTAACGACCAATTCACGGTAAGTCACAACAATACAACATAAAATACAATGCAAAAAATATACTTGACCAAATGATGTGCTGGATCAATTGTGCTGAGGCGATCTAAATAATCAATTGCTTCCTGCAACTGCCCATTTTCAGATAATAATAAAGCGGCACCCAAATAAACATCAACATTCGTGTGATCAATTTCGACAGCGCGGTTCAATTCACTGCAATAAAGAAATTAACTT